ATTAAAAATACATAATAAAGAATTCTTTAATAATTAATTTGATTACATTAATTTATTAGACTCTGAAGGTCTTCAGAATCCATACCAGAAAGATTATGAATTTGATAAAAAAATAGCGCTATTTGTTTTGTCTATTAGTGATATAAATTTGAATTCTGAATTTGTTAATCAAAAAGATGAATTTCAACCAATTGATTATAATGAAGTTCTTGGGATCACATAGGATAATATCAAAATTTTAGGATTTGCATCTACTGAAAAATTGTGGAAATAGAATGAAAGTGATGGAGTTTATGAAAATTGGAGGTAATTAATTATTGATGGTACATACTCAGAAGAGTCATACGAATATGGAATTAAAGTAATAAAAGCATATGTTGATAAATTTGGAATAGGAGATGATTAATAAGGACTAGGAAAATAAGTGGAAAATTTAAAAAATTTTATATAAAAGATTGAAATAATTTGGAGAAGTATAGAAAGTCTGCATGATTCACTATAATTTTCTAAATAAATACAACATTAACAAAACCAATTTATGAGACAATAATTTACTGATATAGTTGTTCAATAAAAGTTCCCTCATCAAAAGGATTTTATCAAGGAAGTTTAAGAGAATATTTAAGATATTAATGAAAAATTATCTCTTGAAGTATTAAATACTATTGAGAGATAATAAGTTACAAGGATGAGTCAAGAATTTGATTAAATAAGGATGAAAATCATTAATAAATTAACATCTATACAAAATGAAAAATATAATTCACAAAAATATATTACGAATTATATTAAAATGATCAATGATAGAATTAATAGCGAATATTGGGATGTAGTTTGGCAATATATTCTGAGATGAAAACGTAGTAAACTAAATTTTAAAAGTTCAAGGGGTTTAATTAAATTGATTAATTTATTGAAGGCTTACTCTAAAGGGAAGAAGAATTACAAGAATATAAGAAAGATGAAAATAAGATATAGAATAAGTTTAATCAAATCTGGGCTTAAATCTTAAATCATCACATCTAGCAATAAGAAGAAATGTTTAAAGATTATTGTGATTAACTTTTTCAAACAATCTCATCCGAACTCTCGGAATATCTATTAAAAACAACTAATGAATCTCAATATAAATAGGAGTATCATCTACAATTAATAAAAACTCCACCATAAGATGAAGAATTTCTAACTGCATTTAAGATTTTGAATTCAGAAGTACAAAATTAATAATTTATTTCCATTCCAAAATCTAATTATAACAGTAATAAAAAAGTAGAAAAAGTTACTATATTTTATAGATAAATAAATATTACTCCTAAAAAATTGAATTATAATGGATTACAAAGCAGGATTTTGAAAATTATATGAAAACGATGTTATTTCTGATTTTGAAAATTATTATCATAATAATACAAAAGATGCAAGATATGCGATTAAAAATTTTTTATTATTATTCACTATTTTCGGTTATGAAATAGATGATAAACAGGTTGATAAAATATGTAATATTTAAGATTCTTGGTTTTAGTCTGATACATAATAATCTCATATTTAATGCTTCATACCTTATTAGAGACTATAATATAATCACATATAATATTAGATATCAATTACTTCCATCAACAAAAATTGTAAAGGTCTTGCAAAACATATTTAAAATAAGGAATAAATAATTTCTTTTTCTGACAATTTAGAAAACTTGATTAAATAATATGATTAAGGCGATAAATTTTTAATTTAATTAGATAAATAATTAATTGTTGAATCTTTAGATATTTTAGATATTGACCTTTACAATATCCAATTAAATGCACCAAAAGGCAGCTCATAATCAACAACAAAATTTTATAAGAAAGGTAAATTCTAGTCAAATTAGTAGTCTGAGACCATATCGTCAATAAACACTCAAGTAAGTTAAAAAAAATAATAAGAAACAATTAAAGATATTTTTCAGTATATTTTAGATCAAAAAACGGAATATAACAAATAGAAACAATTTGAGAATTATATTGTTACATTGATTTCATAGCTAATGAATTACAATAATAATGAAGGCTGGAATAAAATGTATGGAGAGATTCATTAGATGATACTAGATGAAATTATAGAAAAAAATGTAGATGATAAAAAAAATGAAAATATAAAAGTTAAATAATATAGTTTCAGTTTAATTAAACGAATTATGCAAAAAATTGAGGTTAAGATTACAGAATTTAATTTGCAATTTTCTGATTTTGGCGTAATTTTAACTAACATAGGAGATAGGTGCCTATACTATTTTGCAATGTTAACAATCTGGAGAATACTATGTTTTGGTTAATATCAGTCAATAGAAAGTAATATCAAAGAATTAAAAGATTAGACTGAAGAGTAGTATCGTAAATTTAAGGCTCATATTTAAGAAAATAAGAAAGAACAAAGCAAAATTCAAGGGTAAACCTGAGTTTAAGATATCATTAATTTCGCAACTTAAAGCTTTTATAAGAAATATTGTGAAGATGCTGCATAAATTCTAGAAATGTATAGCACTGAATCAAGTTATGATTTAATGTAGAAATTTGACAAAGAAATTTTAGAAAAATTGGATAAAAATATTCCATATGATGAAATTATTGAATATATCAGAAATCAATCTAATTATATTGAAAAATATGTTTAAAAGAAAATTTCTAAAATTAAAACAGAAATTTCAGAAATGTTAACTGACCAATTGAAAAAGGATTTGAAGTCTCATCTTGAAAAGGTAAATACAAATACAAAAAATTTACAAAATTTTGTTTTTGATGATTCAATAGCATAAGATTATTTTAAACAATTAAATAATCCCTCTGAAGGTCCAGAACTATTATATAAAATAGTTTTAAGTTGCCTTTAAGGATAAGTCTAATAGAATTTCCTGGAATCTATCAAAGATGATAAAAGAGATGCATTCTAAACTTAAGATTTTCATATCTTGGATTGCCCTTTGGGGCTGCCAAGATAAAAATCAGATGCTGAAATTTAAATATTGCTTGATTTTGTTTAAGCTTTTTAAAAGAAAATTTAAGATGCAATTTAAAGTTTAGACACTTAGCAGATAGCATTTGAAAAACTGTTTGTTTCAGCTGATTTAGATGCTTTATAACTTAAATGAATTTGGTGTTTAGAAATCTATCCTTGTTGTAAAAGAAAATGTGATGAAGATATAGAATTTAGTAATCATACACATTAATGCAAAAATGGTCATATACATTAATGAGGTATTTATACATTAATTAAGATGTAATATTATTGTCGAAAGTCTAATGACTTATAAAATCAACTATTATTTATTTTCAACTCTTAATTGTATTCATTCGAATTGCGATGATTAAAATTCTCACAACAAAAAAATTTTTTGTGAAGTCAAAAGATATAAAAAGCAAAAAATCTTCTCCTAAAGAATGCTAGGAATATTGATAATTAAGTAGAAGGAAATCTTTGGTTAAAATTGAACCTCAAATTCCAAACCATTAAGGGAATTCTAAATAATATTTGCTGAATTTATTTTTTAAAATCTTTGATTATTTATAGTTTAAAATGAAAGTGGGAATTATTGGAGGAATTAGTTCATATTTGAGTTATTTAGTTTGGAATAACTATAATAGCAATCAAGTTGAATTGTATTCATTAAATAATGAATTGCAAAATGAAATTGTCAAAAACTGTCCATCTCTTACATCTTATAGACCTCCTGCATTTTATTGTGGATTTCTACATACAGTAATTCCCACTATCTCAAGACCAAAAGAGAAGCACATATCTTTTTTCGAGAAGTTAGGGGATACAGGCATTTCAGTAGATTTTGTGGATAAGGGACAATCAATTAATTCTAATCAACCATTATTATTAATAATTCCAGGATTGACAGGAAAAGTGTAAAATGGGTAAGCGTAAATATTTAATCATTTAGTTATGTGAATAGCCTCATTACGTAAGCTCATCAATATGGCTTTAATAATATTGGCATTTACACTTATAGGATGTTATCAAAGGATGCCGATTTCCATTTTGTGCCTCCCTTTTAAGATTATGGAATTGATTTTCAGGGGGCAGACAAGGAATATTTTAGGGATGATGTTGTTACTGGGTAAACGACAAGGATAGATTTACCAGCTGATTTACACTACACGTTAAAATATATAAAGGATAAATACAAATTCAAATAGATATTAGCCATTGGTTGTTCTTATGGTGGCGTGTAATTAGGAAATTATTTAGGAAGATTTTAAGAGCATTCATATATTGATGCGGGTGTAACTGTATGTTCACCACATAATATCACTGATTGCGAAAGCAATATTTCCACTATCATGGATTTTACAATGACATATATATTAAGAAGAGGATTGAATATAAATAGACATTTATTTGATGATCAAAAAAATTATCCATAGCAATGGAAACCATCAATATCTAAAGCAATGAATTCTTTGTTTGTTCATCAATTTGATAGGTATTATACATCTCAAATATATGGATATAAATCTGAAGTTGAATATTATAAACATTTTTCTTCATCTGATAGATTTTCGCACATTAAAATACCTATGTTATGTATAGCTTCCAAAGATGATTATGCTGTTAACATAAAAGCATTGTCTTTAGATAAATTACTTTCAAATAAATAAACAATTGTTTGTTTAGCTCAATGTGGAGGGCACATAGGTTTTTTAGAAGGTTTGAATGCTGATAGCACTTGGTTTCCAAAACCTGCTTTGGAATTCTTACGACATTTTTCAAAGGAATAAAAAATAGAATTTAAAGCTATATGATATATTATATATTCAAATACATCAAAGTATTCAGTGATTTCATCAACTTCCTTAATTCCAAAATCACCGAAGAATTAAGTAAGCACAGAGCCTTTTTGGAGCTCCAAAACTATCTAATTGATTAATAACTTTCGTTTAATCTTCAATAGTGAAGTTGATATAGTATTCAAAAACATTTTAATTAAAACAGAGAAGTACTTTAATAGATTCAATTTGGGATCCTAATTATTGAATTAATTTTTTGTTATTTTATGGAAAATTAGATTCAGATAATTATTCTTCTTTCAATTCTTAGCTTTATTAATGGTAAAGTCACCAAAAGGATCCCCAGATCCTTTTAAATCACATATTTTTCATAATATCATAATCAATATGTAATGCTTAATGCTTAATACATCAGAAAGTGTTTAATAAGATATCTCTTGCTTACTTCACTTCTGTATCTTTCTTTCTAGCAACTTTCACTACTGTATGAGCACCCTAGCTAATCCAATTTATATCTATCCTCAAATTTAAGTGCAGCATCAAATTGATTAAGTGTAATAATTTCTGAATTTATTTCATCCTCATTGACTGATATCTAAAATTTAAGACGATGACCAACATTCATTTTATATATAATATTAAATACATGAGTTTATTTCATAACCATATCAAATTAGTTTCCTAACTAATCTAAATTAGAAAAGAATTAATCCTGACTATAAATTGAACAAAAAGACAAAGGCTTATTCAGCAGGGATCCATTAAAATGTTTGAATCCTTTCTTCCTAAATCTTCAACTATTATTCTGATGCCAACAGGAACTTGTTTTTGTTGTTATGAATTGTTATGAATTTTACTATCTAACTTATTGTTTCTAGTTTTGATGATTATCACTTCCATTATGACTTTTATTAAGATTGCTGATCATATTTCTTTAAATCTTAAAGCTTTCTAAAATAGCCAAACTCCAACAAATAATTCATTTATATTTTATTTTATTTCTCTAATGCTAATTGAACCTCTGTTACATACCTTACAAAAATTAAATTATAAGGTCTTATCTATTAAAATATTCTGAAAAAAGATATCCGTTGAGCGAAATAGATAATTCTTATCGATATTCTTTTTGTGATCTAATTATACAATAGATTTGGGGCTGAAGTAAATTTCCTTATAATCACCCAACCTTAATTCTGCTATTTAAGGACGCCTATTGGTCTAATTTTCACTAATAGCTTATTTTCATAAAAATTAATATTGTATCAATTTTTGGTCAATTATGCAATTTATAATTTTGGATTTTACTAATATTATGTTATTTTTAACATATTTTCTATATCTTAAATATTCAATATAATCATTTGTAATATTTATCTGATCTCTCTAAAATATCTTAGTCAAGTTTCTTCGTTAAATCATAACTTGATTTATTATTTTATATGGTTATAATTGCAGCATTTTGTAGTACTTCCTTATAAAAATATTAAATTCCTTAATCGAAGATTTTTAAGCAAATGGTATCTTGAAAATATTTTATTTTTTTTGGTTTATAAAATTCAATATAAAATTTAGTCTATAATCATTTAAATCTAAATTTTAATTCTTTAATAATAATTGATATTATCCAAAGTATAATATTCTCTAGTTAGCGTGTGAAAATTACAAAATAATATATTCATATTCTCCTTCGTCATTTAAAATACTATCAAATTCAGAAATTTACATATTGAATTCATTTATATTAACTTAAATTTTTGCAAGATATAATTTTACTGATCTTCTAAATTTACTTTGGTAATTCTTCTTAAATATTGTGCTTATTTATTTTGATAATTTAATCTAGTTCACTAAATTAGTTGTGAATTATTCAATTTTTAAGATATTTAATTGCATCATTTAACGAATTCCTCCTTAAATTTGATTCCACATTCATTATTAACAACATTTAACAATGCAACAATATAATTCTTAAATTGATTATATTTATGAGATTCTAATTTTTTATTCAATATCTATTGAATAATATCTTTTATTGTTTACTATCTATACATTTTACCAACTTAATAAGAATTTTTTTATGGGTTGATGGTTAAGGTGGAATAATTTTTGTAAAAAAATATTTATAAAATATCATGAAATATAATATAATTAATCGGTTGAGGAGCCAATTTATATGCAAGTCTATTTTCACGCACCAACCAAGCATTTCAAACTGCCAACAAATTTAGGACAACGAAAGGATGGGAGAGTGTTTCAAAGGAGGAAGTATTAAAATGTTATTGAATTTATAGGGTAAAATGGTTATGTTCCATTGAATCAAATTTGTATAGTATATTTTTTTTAGTTCATTAATTAAGACATCCATAATACTAAAAAGTTCTTCTAGAATATGTATTATCTCCATAATTTTTCGAAATCTTTGTCGAATGTTTTGTAACTATTTAAAACTAAACTCGCACTTTTACAAAAATAGTTTTATTGATCTTCAACTTTCTCTTTTGACACAATTCAAGTCTTTATATATTTTAAATGCCTTTGAGGTTTAATAATTAGATTTTTCTATCATCTTCTTTGTATAATTAAATGAAAATTAGAAAAGTCTGCATGAAATTGAACAAACTTACATCTCAAATTTAGCTTTTATCTATGAAGTTCTTCATTATTCATTAATTTAAATTATAGTTTAGCCTTTTTAATTTATTAAAAATATATTAAAAATATATATAAAATTTCCAACGAATATCAATTATGATTCCTGATTTCAATAATGGGTATAGCCAGACAGAGAGTTTGATCCCAAATTTTTTGGAAAACTCAAATTTAAGAGACAACTTTTTAATAAAAAGAAATTTGAATAATTTTATATATAAGATTAATAATTCAAGATTAAATTCATTAATCTAACATCTAAGCTCTCATAATGAAATATATAAACTCACATATTTTTTTCGTAAGTAATATGTCAAAAATTAGTTTAATCAATGGAAAAAATTCAAGAATTTATAAATTTCAACCCAATAATGATAAATGATAAATAACACATATTTTCAAATTGGATTGTAAGAAATAACTTAACTTTTAAATTGAATTAAACAGCTTTGTAGAAGGAGGTAGAAATCTATAGGGAATCCATTTTAGAATATATTGTAGAATATTCCAATCGATTGACTATTGAATATTATTGAATTTAATTGAAATGAAAAGTTTAGCATATATAACTATGATTTTTAGGTTTTTCAATGATGCTATTTTGTTGATGAAATATTGTGGGAATCAAGTGGTTTTCCAAAAATTTATTTTTATTCATTTATTTTAATTAATCCATAATCACGATAAATTGATCTTTTTAATATATTTTCTCCACCCCCATGTAGTTCTTTTTAATTTAACTAAGAAATCATCAGAGATCTGAATTAAAAGTATTGCATATCATTTTTAATGTCTCTTTTTTTAATTATTATTAATTCTAAAACGGTATCTAATAGAAAATATTGAAGTGATTATTTTTCTTTAATTTATTTCATTGCTCTAAGGAAATGGATTTTTAATTTTTTTCATTTACTTTAATTATTGCATTTTATTTTTCACTTTTGTCTTTTACAACAGCAGATATAACTCAGATCAAAAATGAAATTTATTGCAATTTAGAAAGTTACAAACATTTAAATTTTAATCCTTTCTTTCTTATCATTTTATCACTAAGATCCTATTTCTGGCTGTATGTATATTTCAGTCAATTTCAATTTGTTGTTGATTTCTTAGGTTGTCATGATGCTACACAAATATATAGTTACAACAGTTGGAACAACACCCAAAAGAACAATAAATTCATAGTAAAAAAAAAATGAATATGCTTTTGAAGATTTGCTTGTTTGGCCTCAATAATAACCTTGGATTCATATATAAAAGACAGTTTACATCTGCATAAGCTAATAGTAATTATGAACATTAAGCTAAAATTAGCTACGAACATTAAGCGAAAATCTGAATTTGATGCTGGGCAATATGTTATTTTATGCGTATTCTTATGTAAATGATCCAAGATATTCCAAAACCAATTACCCAGATAGTGGTGTTACAAATGCATCTACTTATAATTATAGCAAAATCACATTTTTCAAGAATCGTGTTTGATATTTGGATTATAAATATTTTATATGATATAATATTTGATCAACCCAAATAGAGCATTATTAATTTCAAATAGTTCTTAGCAATTTCTCCATTTCCACCGCATCTAATACCCATTCTTAAAAATTCTGTTGATTGATCAAGAGAGGATATGACAACCTTTATTGGTAGATTTAAAATATTATTTTATTCTGGCGGCTTAATTATCAATTGTCCGCAAGCCCAAATCATTTGTAAACTTTCAAGAGAGGGAAATGGTTGCCTTCAATATTAATTACGCTTTCAAATTTAATCCAACAGAAAGTAGTCCTCCTGTCTTTCTGAGCACTTCAGTCATTAGGATGTTAGAAGGTGTTGTGTTTCTTATAAAAGTATCTAATTTAAAATAGTTCTAATTGCTTAGATTGTTACTAATGATAATCTTAGAATAATTACGCAAAATCATCGAAGAATTTTGTAAACTTATCATGTTGCATATCAACAGGTTAAACAAATTTATTTGTATAAATAGGTAGATGGAATTCATGTTTCTTTTGTTATCCATTTTATTCATAAAAAATGGATGAAATAGGCAAAGTCATATTCCCATCATAGCTTAAAACTTGCATCATTACTTGAGGAAAATCTCCTTGTTTTATTGGTAAGATGTTGTACAACATACCATTAGTTTAGGAATCTAGTATAGATAGATTAGATATTGGAGAAGTTCCTTCAAATTAGAAAGAAACCTACATATATATATACTGTTATTTGGAATACCTTTCCTAGATGTCCACTTATTTCAGATTTATATTAAACTACTAATTCTCCAGGTTTGTCGACTACTTTTCCAACTTATGCAGTTAGCAACACTTTAATTTAATTTAAATTGCTAATAGTCTGAGACTTTAAGTTATTCTCCTGGAGGTGGAGGCACCATAATATTAATACCTTCAAGAGCGACTGATCCTTGGGATTAATTCAAATAAGGGCATGCTTTCAACCAACTGAGATGCTTTTATAATTATTCAGGCTTGTTTTATAATCTTTATTCAGCCATTGCTATTTCCTGACTTGCTTAAATTCTGGCCTGATTTAAAAATGTAGGATCCTTTTGTTCTTTTGGATTTAATACCATTCCATAAATTCTCTTTGTAAGGGGATTATTTTATTAAACTTATTCTGAATAGGGAGGTATTTTAACAACTATTTAATTAAGAGTTTGTCATCTTCCATTAACAAAGAGAAGTACTCAATTCCTCTTTATTAAATATCTGGATCAAAGTGTTCTCCATCTATTTGACAAATCATGATTGCTTAGTCTCTTAATTCTGGATATTTGCGCGCTAACTTTACAAAGTCGTTTAATAACATTTATCTACTTCTTTCAGTACTAAATGTATAATGTTTGTTAAAAATATCGAATAGTTTTTAAGGTTCTTTATTTTATTCCACTAGCATTTAAGAATATTCACTTATAATAAATGCTCCTATGCAAATCAAAGTTTTATGAACATGTGGCATGGATAATTAAGAAAACAATTTAGTGGCTGCATACTTTTATAATTCTTAGTTTCCTTCTTTTTAGAATCCTACAATAATTTGAATGATTCTAAACCAAATATCTTCAGTTACAAAATCTCCTGATGAATTTATAATCAATATAATTTAAATATAGGATCTAGAATCTTTTGAATATATAATTCTCACAACTACATCAATGTACCAATAGAGGTTCTCTGCAAATTTTTCAGATAGAATAGCTATTTTTAAAACTAAATTATCTTTAATTTGTAAATCTGCCCATTTTCAGCATAATTGAGCAATTCCTCCACTATTCTTTAACTTTTATTTGGACTACTTATTAGATATAGCAAATCTAATGCTCTTTTTCTGATAGAAATATCATTATCTCTTCAAGATTTAAAAATAGTATTCAAATGGTCTTCTTAAGTATCACCTGCAAGTTTGACAAATTTACACATTGTTTCTAATCCTAAATATCTTAAATTTGGTTCTTTAACTGATATGAAGATACCGAGCAATTTCAAAATATCATTCTTCAATTCCATTCCAAATGCTCCATTATAAGTTATAATAAGATTCGCAGCTTCGAATAGAATGCCATGATCTACATTATTTTTATTAATGCTTTTTGTGACTTCTGTTTTTTTTTTTGATAATTTTAGTCAAACATTCTGTCAATTAACGATGAGAATCAGTTGAAGGAGGAGGTGTTGAGAAGAATGATAGAGCCTTCAAAATCTTTACCTGTAACCATGGAGCAGGAGTGGCATAATAATTGTAATCCACAGGGCTGTCCTTTTGAATGGCAATTCTATGAAGCAAATTAATCAATTTTGGTGTGCAGTCTTCAAATATGGATGGGTTGTCTAACTAACATGTTCCTACCAATAACGAAGTAACAGCAGTCATAAATCCTAATGTGGGGTATCTTTGTATAAGTTACACATATATAACTGACAAACATCTATTAAATACCTTAAGCCTATTAAGATGGCTAGAATTTGTCTTGATATTTTCTATACATTCTAAGTAAGCAAGCAAATGCCTTCTTTCGAACATGGAATGTTGATCTAGGCTCTGTCAATGCCAATTTCTAAACATCTTAATGCAAAGCATTGACTAATTCCTATGGTGCCTATGTTCCAACCATTGTGAGAGCAAATGATTGAATTATTTCATATGCAGATTGTAGATCAACTCTTATCGAATGCGCTGCTTGTGTGGGTGAGTCATGTGTTTTTTCACTCACCAGAATTGAAGTGGCTACATATCCTGTGTATTTCTCACTAAATTTTGAAGAATTAATCAAGAAAGCGCACGCTTATAATCCAAAATCGACTTCATAACCTAATTTAATAATACTCATTATTGCTACCTAAAATATTGATGTACAGCAATTTCCAAACGTATTTCTTTTTTTAATAACTAGCTAATCCTTTTTAAGATGTAAATTTGCCTCTTATCTTTTACAATTCCTTCTCCACCCTTTTCTCTTCTTATTCCTTATTTTGAGCAATGACGAATGTCAGTGATGAATGTATTCAACCCTCTCATATTCGTACTCATGACTTAATTAATCTTTTTACAATAATTCTATATATACTTTCAAAATTTTTAAATATGCAAATTGACATCTCCATAATAAAGATATTATTATCATACCCATTCTCATATATGTTGAGGCATTCTCTTCTATCCAAATGCCTTCAATCCTTCTAATCTATCCTAATTGTGGCAAATTTAATAATACAAATATTCCTCATTTTAAATTCTCTTTACATATCGACTTCAATTCCTTTATTAATATCTGCCTTGGCTGTTCTAACTCCTATTGGACTCTTAATTATTACTCATTATACATTTTAAATATCTATATCCATCTTCATATACATTATTAACTAATCCTATTTTTCATGAATCTTCAACATTTTATCTTCTTCCTATATAGTTAATTCTTATGCCAACGCTACACCAATCACCCTAGGTGTTTTTAGATTTAACACTTTTATATATATTACTCTCTTGGTATAATTGCTAATCCTATTTCAGGTAAGAAAATATAGATGACTTTGTTACTACTCTTAAATCACATGCCAAGGGCAATTCTAATCCTCCACCTAATTCAATTCATTTATCACTCAAATAACGGTTGAGGTAAGTTGGCAATTTCATTAAAGTATCACTTAAATTCTTTACGATTAATTAAGTCTCAAAGTTATTTAATCCTATCATTTTTCAAACAGTTGCAGTACAAAATTACTTTGAAATTGATGATTTGAGTATAACACAATTGATAATTTTGAGGTTGCTTTTTCAATAATTGACTATCTCTTTTCAAGCAATAATTATTTAGATAATGCATTCATTTAAAGGATTATTCAATTCAGCAATTGAAAATCCTTTAATTTCATCATGATTTTGACACAGTAGAGTCCTATTGAAAATTATAGATTAATTTTTTACATATATTTATATTCAAGTAAGTTAATTCTAGGAGTATTATTATAATTTAATCATTACTCATTTTATTATTTTCTTAATATAGGATATATAACTTTTTTTTCCACTTATTGAATAAATAAGAAACATATTATTTAATTAACACTTTAACATTGAACAAACTTATTAATAATCAAAAACTATATCCAATTGCAACATTTTACATTTTATAAAATATTATAATAATTTATTAGGTTTATTGTTTTTTAATGTTAATTTCTGAGTCTTGAGTTCTTAATTTATAGGTTTGGATCATAAAATATTTATTTTATGAATAATTATTCCAGAGATCCACCAAGCAAAATTTTGCTTCTTGTTATTACATAACTATCTCCAACCTTTCCACTTTGTAACGATCTTCTTTTCGAGCAATTCGCAAAATATGGTGATATCAAAAAAATTCTCATTTTCGAAAGAGGCAAGGCAAACAAAGCTTTTGTTGAATATTATGATGTGAAACATGCCATAGAAGCAAGAAAGGATAAACTAGGCAAATATTTAGCTGAAGGGGAAGGAAAGTAGGTATATTTAAATAAGTTTAGACTTACCATCCACTTCTCTCGTCTTAAAAATCTTGATCTAGAAGTTGTGGACAAATCTCGAGGAACAGATTACACTTAAGCAAGCAGCACAAATTCAGACACAATGAAGCACTCTAATACAGATGATCCCAACGTACTTAGATAATAGATTGAATCATTTACTCGTACTTTCACACAAACTTCTTAAAGAAATCTCACTCCTGCCAGAAATGACGAAATTAACAACTTATTGAATTCAGATTCAGACGATGACATAGACATTTGGAAATAGCAGAAATAACAAGGACCACAAATATCTTAAGATGTTTAAAATATGATCACTCAAAAACCATCCAAAATTATTAAAGTGACATCTATCGACGATCGAGTTACTGCTAAAATGCTATATAATATTTTTAACAAATTTGGGAATGTTGAAGAACTTCTATACGAAAAGTAAATGCAAAGAGTCTTTGTCAGATACCAAACTATCGAGTTTGCTCAAATCGCCAAAGAATATTTAAATAATATTTAATTTTTCGATCAATAAGTAATCAAAATATATTAACCTTAGTGGCGAATTTCTTATCACCCTTTATAACAGTTACAACCAACCACCATTTCAGATGAATATATGATATACTACAACCCCAATGGACCAAAACTGATTGTTCCTTTATCAAAAACCATCATTCTTAGCGGCGTAATTGAAGCTATGGAAATATCAGAGATGATGAGACTCGTTGCCAAAGTCCTTGGTAATTTATACCTTATATTATTAGAAATTAAAATAGTAGCTTCTGATAGTTTAGAAATAACTATGATGAATATTTCAGAAACTTTAAAAATCATAGCAGTATTTTCTGACTATGAATACAAAAATTAAAAATTGATTATTTCTATAAAATGAATCTATTTTATAGTATATCAATATCTAAATTATTAATTTTTTTCTCTACATATTCTCTGAAATTCAATTCTGATAAAAAAATATATCGAAAATTCAGCTTAAAAGAACAATAGTATAAAACTATTATAGCTTCTAAAGAATAACTATATATTAACAATATAAAAGATTTTATATTTTTGAATTAATATAATTCATTAATATATAAAATGTGAACAAATAATCTAATTTGAAATAATTTTTATATTTCAAAAGTTCATCAACAAAATTTCTATGAAGACTACTTTATTTGAATGAGTGATATATCCAATATCTTAATCAGTGGCTTAGCTTTCCTTATAATGTATTATTTGAATTTTCCAAAAAGTATTGCAATAACCTTAATGAGGCTAACTAATTTAAAATCAGAATATTTATTGAATTATTGAAAAACCTTTTATATTCAATATTAATTATATTAATAAAATAAAAAATATAATTTATTTAGTAGTTCTTATGTTGAGCATTCAAAACTTAATAAAAATAAATATCAGATATGAATTACATTTGATTTTTTGAGTTACTCCTTCTTTAATTATTTGTTTAAAATCTAATCTAAGAGATATTTTTATTTCAGTCCCTCTAATTGTTAAATTTCATTTGCTCTTTTTAGTATTGAGATATTTAATTTGGTTTTCTAAGCGGATTTTTCAACTTGGTTTGATATATTTGATAGATCGACTTACATTGGAGATTGTTCTAAAATATTGTATCTTAAACGTGGCTTTATTCTAGGGGACTCTTGATAATTCAACTTTGGTTAATGTTATCTCTCTGATTTTATTTAATTGTTATCTCTTGCATAATTAGGATTAGAATCAGACATAGATCTTACTTTTTGAGACAGATTACTATTATTTTATCGGAAAGTTTGATGCTGATTGATTGATTAATTATTTACTATTTCAAGCTAGTTTAAATATGAATCTTCCTCTTAATAAGGACCAATCAAGCTCAATATCAAATCATCATTTGGTACAATAGCATTTAGAGCATCCCATGTAACGATTGGAGTTTTCTTTTAATATATTTATTCTTTTGGTGCAGCATTTAGACTATAAGTAAGCTTAGTTAGAGGTTTAAAGTTGCTAATATGTTGTGTTACCTTTTTCTTTTAAAGGTGTTATATTAATTGAATTTTTTCAGGATATTTTTCAATCAATTCAGTTCCACTTGTAAACTTTAGTTCGAATTGCAACTTTTGCTTTGTTTTTTTCTCTCTTTCATTATTTTTATTATTTTCTGATTTTAATTTTCTTTATCTTAAAATTTCTTTAATGAGATTTTCATCTTTGATATCAGGATGGAATAATTTGAATTAATAATGAAGCTCATCTTTTGTAAATCTTTATCTGTCATCTTTCATGTAAAATGGTTTACCAAGCAATTTCATTTTCTTTTAATTTTTTAACCAAACATCAAAACCAAGTTCTGAATAAAATTCACACAAATCAATTCCTCGATATAATGCTAACAAACTAAACAATTATTCGAACTATTATAAATTGATGTTTTATCCATTAGTTGCACATTTCTTAAAAAGATCTTGGAGTTCTTGCTTATTAAGAAATTTAATGTTAAAATCTCTACAAAAATGAAAGAATTTAGCTAAATTCAATTGATTACTCTCTTGAGATTATCTATCGAATGTTGCATTTACACCTATAGCATATGTTTATTTAGTGTAGAAGTGGAAGATTTATTGGATTACAGTGTTATTAGAGGGAACAGAATAACTATTTCTTCTTGTATTCTGTTCTTGAGTAGCCGTTGGAACATTTCTAAATACGGAACTCTCTTCAGATAATTTATTTTTGTTTTTCATTTAAAAAATATATTGAAAAAACTAAAATGATTGTATTAAATGAAAAATATTGAAAGAATGAGAATGATAGGGATATATTATGGATTAACACAAGGAGAAGAATTCGATTTCGATAAGAATTAAAATAATTTATTAATAAAAATGAGACACAAATCTCAAACTGTTAATGACAGAGGATTGAAAAAATTATAAGCAGTAGATTATAAAAAATGCATATATAATTGTTTATTGATCAAACAAAAATTTATTGGAAGGGGTCCAAGGTACATTTATCTGTTTAAGAATCAAATTTGTATAGGAAAGGTATAAGTTTATTTTAGGATTTTAAGTCTCCTTTCATTTAAATTCCTGAACGATAATTCCAAATAAATTAAGATATAAGAATATAGTGGTCTTATAAGAAAAACCAATTAAAATCAGTAATATTTTATGTAGGCGGAGAGCAATTAGAATACTTTGGGACCAATCAATAACTTAGAGAACTAAAATAAAAATGTGCTCTTTATGTATTTTAGGTCAAAATATAAGATGAATATCAAGCTGAGTCAATTTTAGGATAGGGATCATATGCTACAGTTCTGGAATTATCAAATTTATAAACTTAAAAACAATTTGCAGCCAAATGCATCGATTAATAACGTATCAATGAGAAAAAAAATGGATATAAATAATTACTATAAGAGATAGAAACTATGCGTGTTCTCTCAGAAATAAAACATTAAAATATCTTATAATTATATGAACTCTATATAGGAAATCAAAATTACTATTTGGTAATGGAGGATCACTCTTGTCTTTGATGAAAAAGCGTCAGACACTTTTCATTAGATCTGAAATTAGAACAATATGAAATAATTACTAGAAGGCCTAACGTTTATTCGCAGCTATAATATCATGCATAGAGATCTTAAGCCAGAATATATTGTTCATGAATAAAGATTTAGAATCCTTAGTCATAGCAGATTTCGGATTGGCATAATCAGTAGATTATCATCCATACACATATCCAAGGTGTGGTACTCCAGGATTTGTTGCTCCAGAAATTTTAGAATAAGATTCTGATTATGCAAAATATTCAGCTCTTTGTGATATATAGTGCTGGGGTGATATTATATGTTCTGTAAGTATTTATAACAATCTTAGATTGATAGGTGAACCTCTATTTGAAACCAAGGATAGGAAAGAGTAATTTGAATTGAATAGAAAATGTGATATTAATCTTAGTAAGTTTACCAATGATTTAATTAAATGATGTCGAAAGGATCTTTTGATTAAGATGCTCTCAGAGAATCCTGAATTCAGATGGTCAGCAAACAGTCTAGTAAAACATAAATTTTTCGTTTCTGATGATTAGATAGAGAGTGAGGTAAACTTCTATAAACTCAATAATATGTCCATGTATGATAAGCATAAGATATTAGTTTGAAGAAATCCATGATGCCAACGTTTCTCAAAAATCCATTTATGTAGAATTCGAAGAATTAAAACACAATCTCCTATTCATAGATAAAGAAATTGCACTTTAGTTATGTAGACTAACTTAAGATTTGATAAATCATCTTAAGAATAATTAAATACTGCATAAGTAAATGGAATAGGATCTTTTGGGTTATTTAAAGATGAAATTAATTAAACAAACTTTTGAATAATAATAAATAAATAAAACCTATGCTTACTCAATTTTCACAATTGATTTAACTTAAAATATATATTATTAAATTAATATTAATAAATCTAATTTACTAATTTAGACACTAATTCTATCTTGTTTAACTACATATTTATCATAATAAGATGGAAACTCTAGTTATTTTTCATTCAAAGAAGATATTTTTATTCAAGAAAACAATTGTATAATCATGAATAAATATCGCTTAACAAGCAAAAGCTTGATATTTTTTTTAGTTGAATACTAAGAGATTTTAAGAATATATTAATAATATTACATATAACTTAGCATAATTGAATTCTAAATAATAATCTATTAATATTATATATTATTTGTTTAACGGTCACTTTGTATGTCGAGAAGACAAAAGGCAAAAGCTTATTAATAATGAGAATGAGAACCCTTCTGAAAATTATGAATGCAAATTTAATGAATCCCCTTAAAGACTTTGCTAAGAAAGAAGAGCATAATAATGCTTAGAATAAATCAGTTCTCAATTCCTCCTATCTAACACCTTTGATATATATGCTGGTTGGAACGAAAAAGAAGAGAAGCCTTTTAAAAACTATCCTAGACCAGTTTAATCGTAAAAATCTACATTAGACTCATCATTTCGAATTAGAAGCCAAATAAGAACTGCTACTCCTAATCAGCGCAGGTCAAAACGAACTCAATCTCATATGAAAGAAACAAAAATTTTATTAGACATCTGCCCAAAGCAGTGTTTTAATTATCCAATTCCTGCTTTTAAAACAAAACAATTTTCTTAAAAAGAATAAATTAAATATTTTCAAGGGTTTTATGATAGAGATGAGAAATAATTTGATTGGATGAGTAATTTACTCTAAGTTAGGAAAATTAAGAGATGATATATATAAATACACTCACTTGATTATTTCATTATCATTAATATAACTATAGTAAAGCAATAGTAATGAAAATAATGTGATTGCATACATAATGTTAAAGTTTAATCATAATAATTAATATTTCTCTAAGAGAAATGTTAGATCATTCATTTATAAAGGTTTTCCTAAATGCATATCAGCACCAATTCGTTTAGTTAATTTTTGGTCAAAATCATCGTTTCCACCTGATAAAATACATATAATTGTTTTTTTTAACTACAGTGATCGTTCTTCATCAAGTTTTCTGATATGCTGAATTGCTTCAATGCCATTCATTATTGGCATATTAATATCCATAAAAATTAAGTCATATTGTTGTTTATTTGCTTTTTCAACTGCTTCTTATCCATTTAATGCTTCATCTATAAATGGTTTTACTAATCTTTTCTATAGAATTAATTTAAGAGCTTGCAAATTGAATGCTTAGTCGTCCACAATCAGTATGCTTAGGAGTTGTTTAGGATGTTTAGATAAATCTATAAGAGTCTTAGCTTTTTGATTTAACCTTTGTTATTATTAAAAAATTGAAAAGCTAGGCATTTACTTAATTGGGGATGGATCATTTTCTGGAAATTCTTGATCATAACTAGAATTTTATGGTTCGATTTCTTTATCTTACATATTGGCATAGATTTTAAAAATAAAGGAAGAGCCTTGATTTTCTTTTGAAATTAATTCAATTTAAGGTTTTGGTCCTAATAAACCAACAAGATTCCTTGATATAACTAATCCTAAACCAACTCCTTTTTGGTTATGATTTCCTAAATTAAATGTAGAGTAAGCCTTGAATAGTTAATTTTATATTTAAGTAGGTATCCCAAGTCCTGTGTCTTGTACAGTAAATTAGATTAATTTGGTTTCATATGCCTGTGTGATTTCAATAGTTAGGGATATCTTTCCAGAGAAGGTAAATTTAATTGCATTTGAAATTAAATTAAAAAGTATTTATTATAGTCTAGTTTGGTCTGAATATAGAATAATCTTCTCATTAAGGTCAGTAATAATAAATGATAAGTTTTTTAATTCTATTTATGTCTTAAACATTTATCTAATTTATTAAACACATGAGGATAGATTAAAATGCGTTAGATTCAATCTTAATCCTTAGGTCTTCATTTATGAATAATCAATTAGATCATTGATCATGGTAGCTAGAATTTACTGGTTTGCTAACATATCTTCCAGATGGTTAATGATTTCTAAAGTTGGATTAAGAAATTAATACCTTAGATTTCTGATTTATATATTTCTTGTTTATTTTCTAAACTAGTTTTGATTACATTAGTTAAGAGTGTTTAGACATGCAAAGGAGTCTTTAGATCATGAGATACTGCTGCTAAGAGATTATCTTTGTAGTTATCTAATTCTTTTAAATGTTACAATCGTAATTCACGATCTGTAGCATCGTTCAATATTAACATGATACATTGCTTTCCATCCCAGAGACAACCTTATGCAAGGGCGTCATAAAATTAGAGTTTATCCTATTTTGTTTACTAATAATTATAAAATGGATTTTTTACTCTTTAACATTACATTTTATGATGTAAAGATATAAGTTAATAATCAAATGGGTGATAAGTATTTAATTAAATTTCTGTTTAAATTTTAGATTATAAGTCTAATATTTTTTCAATAAATTTCCTTCTTTCTTTATGTAAAATGGAATTGTCCATACTAATGATCTCTATTTGTTATAGTCTTTCTGTCAGAGTATCTTCATTATTAGTTTCAAAATGAATAGAAGCACTTTTGTTAAAGTAAGTGACATTCATTGATCTATTTTCTTAAGTGTGTAATTATTCTCTTTAACTTGATGCTGAATTCAACATGTCATTTTTTTAGCAATCTTACGTTGAAATTTCTTCTAATATTATAATTGATGCGGGAACAGTCTCATCAAATAATTTTTTACATGCTTCTAAATTAGTTTAAGTTTTGTGAATCAAAAGATAGTTCAGTCTGCTTGTTTTTTCATTCTGTCTTAACAAATAGCAGGTAAACAACAATAGAATGTAATGAGACCATAATCGATTATTTTAAAATTATTCAAATATTCCCATCAATGTAAGAAAGTAACTAGTGATGGTTAAACTCTGCATCAAATAGTTAGACTAGATTAAAAAAAAACTTATTGAGAACAATCCTTATTATAATCCTGAGATCAATGAAATACTCAATACATCTTCAATATTATCTTAGGTGTTGATAACAAATTTCATAAAATAGGCATATAGCAACACATTCAATACACTATTAATGAGAATTAGTATATTGATTAGGGAATTCCAATATGTCTTAGAAATCTTTTATATTGCAAGTGAGATTAACATCCAAACTATATATATTGATCTATATTTGACTATTTCAGGAGAATAGTATATCAAACAAGTATTGATGATGTAAACTAAATTTATTAGTATTTGCAACACAATAGAAATCCTAAATTATACAATAACCTTGGCCATTTATCGATTTTAATAACATTATTCCAATTCTGACTAGATAAATTAGAGTGTAAGACTATTTAAAGAATTCTCATTTTTATATAGTTCTTATATCTAACTCTACAGAAAGAATTCCTTCAAGCACATCTTAACTGCTTTCATTTACCAATAATAATTAATATACAAATAAAGGATTTGCAAAATTTGGATTTTATAATTAATTATTTAATTTATGCAATTGTAATTGCTTGGGAAATGTCTACTCTAATACAAAAAATATATCAACCTTAATTTTTGACAAAATGTCATATAGAATGTTGAATTTTGGAATTCTTAATCTCAAATTTAAGAAAGAAATACTTCTTGATTTTTAAGTTGCCACTTTAGCCTATTTTTTATGAGAAGGATAGAGTATTATCGTTGCAGAAATAAGTGGTAAATTTAAATCACGAAAATTTTAATAGCATGTGAACTTTACCCATTATTAATGAAAATATTTAATAAACTACTAAATTAATATAAATGAATTATTAGTGAACTAACAGAAGTATTTAGATTTTATGGGTTGTTAACATAAACATATTAGAAGAATTAAAAGTTATGATTTTTGATGAAATACCATATGATGATTCAAATTAGAATGAAAACTTATATGAGAACACTTCTCATGAATTACTTCTATAATAATTGAAAAACCTAGCAACTGTATAGGAAGCAAAAATTTATAGTACTTTAAATCAAGATTGGAAGGGTATCAATATTTTGTGATATTGTCTAGCTCAATTGGATCCTTAAGTAAGATAATGGATGACTTAAGTGAGATAACAATATTTTGAGACATAAAAAAAGTCACAGAAAGTTGTCTCTAATATTTAACTCGAATCTTTCTCAATTGATAATCAAACTGCTGATTTACAATTAGATGATTATTTCTAATTGTGAAATCAGAAATCACTGTATTCTTTTGTGATTCAATATCTATTCATGTAATTAAAGTTCTTATCACTATAAACTTATAACTCTTCATATTTTATTCTTTATTTTAGATTAATTCTTTGATTATTATTCAATTATATAAAAACTAAGATGTTAATCAAAATCTGATATTAATAATATAAAAAATAACTGATGGATTGGAGAAACAAATTAGAGTTGATTCAAAACAAAATAAGAGGCTAATTACATGCTCGTAAAATAGATGACTTGGAAGGAGTGTACCAATTAATGGCAGAATTTGATAAAGATAATTCTGGTATGGATATTTCTAATATAGGTTATTTGGATAAAGATGAATTCTAAAAGTTTCTATCTAAAATAGGTGTCTTCCTTACAACTCAAGAATTGAGAGCAGTCTATGATAAATATGATTCAAATAAAGATGGCAATATAGCTTATGCTGAATTTGTGAATCTCATAAGAGAGAATATGAGTGAAAAAAGAATCAATGTTGTCAGAAGTACCTTCGCATTTCTTGATCATCAAAGACAAGGAAGACTCCTTTTAGAAAGCTTGTATAGACTCTATCAAGCCAAAAATCATCCAAGAGTAAGAACTAGATAAAAGACTGCAGATCAAGTTACAAAAGAATTTGTCAATGCCATCTCAAAAAGAAGCAAAGATGGTCAAAGTATCAGTGAAGATGAATTCCTTAATTATTATGCTGACTGCAACGCAACTCTACCTAGTGAAAAAGAAGAATATTTTACAGAAGTATTCTCTATCATATAATGTCTAGTTATTGACATCCACTTGGGGAGTGACTTCAGGAGCTGATTATGTTTCTCCAGAAAGACTTGCACAATTAGAAATCATTTTGTTTGAAAAAATAAGATAGAAGACAGTTACAAAGGATGATGAAGGTAAGACAGCCAAAAAGGCATTTATGTATTTTGATTTAGAGAATAAAGGGACTATTGATATTTACCAATTTGCTTAGGCACTTTAAAAGTTTGGCTGTGTTTTCAGTGACAAAGAAATTTAAGCATTATTTAATAAATATGATGCTGATAAAAGTGGAAGATTGTGTTATGATGAAATCTGTGGATTGATTGCTTTAATGGGATCTGGAAATAATGCAAATGTTAATCCAGTATTTCAAATTGCAAGAGCTCCACCTTCAGAAACCTTAAATAGAATTAGAGCTGATTTAATAAAGAAAGGTTAACATTCTGTAATTAAAATGGCTACAATCTTTGCAAATTCAGATAAAAATAAGAATGGAACATTAAATAGACAGGAATTCTAATGGGCTATGAAGGAATCTGGGTTTTTACTTACTAAGACAGAATATGATAATCTTTTTAGATATTTTGATAAGAATTGTGATGATGAAGTCTCATTTTTTGAATTCATTAGTTTTTTAAGAAGTATGTTTTCAATTATAATTATCTTAGAACCCTTAACTTAATTTAGAGCAGATCTAGTTAATTAATTGTGGAATAGAATATCAAACGGATAATAGTCGGTAACAATCTAATAACTTAAACGTAAATTGAAAATAATAACTATATAGAATTTTATGATGCTTCCAAGAGTCAAGATGTAACCTTAGGTATCAAAACTGTTGCTGATGCTACTAAAGACTTTAATGACATTTGGAAGGATGTCTAAGCTGTTACTTAATAATAATTTAATGAATATTTAACTGATATAAGTGCTCTTATAGAAAGCGAAGCAACTTTTGAGAAATTCATTAGAAATTCATGGAAATGAATATAACATCATATACATTATATATATCATTCATTCTAATTAAATAATAATGATACAGAAATGATGATTAAATTTTACTCTGATTAGGTATAGAAGTTTTATGCTGTTTGTGGTTTGTGTATGGGGGATATCTAAATAACATAATAAATATCATACCTGCTGATGGATCAATTGTTAATTTTACAAGCACTGGTTTTAGATGCTGCCATTAATCAAATCCAAACATGATACTAGAGACTCCATAATCACTATCACCTACTGCTCAAAATGGCAATTCTTAATTAATTAAATGAAAGATGCAATCATTAACACAAACACCTCCTGAGGATGTAGATTCAAGGATAGCATTTTTATGGAATTTGTTTGTACCAAAGTAATATAGAACCAATGGTTTAGGTCTAGAATTGATGAAATTAATAGCTTCTTCGATCTTCTTTTAAGTGATAATAGGAAGCATTGGTCTAAAGATTTCAGATCCTCCAGTAAAAATGATAAGGTCAATAAGTTATTTGATAATTTGTTATCAATTTTGCCAAGAGATTAGAAATATGAGGAATCATTTCAGAAGGTTTCAAGACAACTGCATTTCCTTCTCATATGGCTTGAGCTACTTAAGGTAACACATGAAAATGGGATAATCCTAAGCTCCAATTACGAAGACAATCCGCTGAGTTCTGACACAAAATAACTAGTTCCTGGAGCTATAATTATGCATGCGCTGATAGATCTTATTGCTTCTTATTTGTAAATGTTTTAAATATCACATTCGATATGAGTTAACACTTCTTAATATTGTACTAATTCACAAAAGAGTTAATCTTAGTTCCTTAAGGGTTGGAACTATGACTGATACGTCATCTTTAATAATTGAGTTTCCATATTAATAATTTACTATTTTCAGTATTATAATTAAGGAATGTTCTTTATTTATTTTGCATCATTAATATATCTGTTTGCAGCCTAAGGAGAAGAAGAATCCTTTGAAGATGATGACTTTTTGATGCCGCCTCCCGATGACGAGGGTTCATTCGCACATCCTTTGCATAGAACTTATTTAGAGGATTCATATTGTATGGATGGCACAAAAGCAGCGGCTTATGTCTTTGAAGGCAGCACTGATGACTTAATTATGTATTTCTATTCTGGGGGAATCTGCATTGAGGATAGCACCAAATTTCTGAAATATGGAGATTATATTTATATCGATAATTGCACTCATAGAAACACTACATTCTATGGTACTAGCAATGGATATCCAGAAGAATTCAATGCTAATTAAGGTTTAATGGGAAATAATAAATATTAGAATGTACATCTTAGAAAAGCTCATAAAATGTTTTTAATGTATTGTGATGGCAATATGTGGTATTAACAAATGAATTCATAAGTCTTTAAAGGAGCATTATCATAAATGAAGTTGATCCCTAAAAGAATAATTTTAGCAGGATCTGGTGTAGGAGGATGGTACTTGGTTAATAAATATAATGAATTAAGAGCAGCCATTAAAGAATTTTATTAAGAAGAGGTTGAATTGAGGATCCTTTTGGATAGTGTCATTTTTGATATATCTAGAAATCAAGATATTGTTGATGCATACACTGAAGCTACAAAGAGAGCGGGTATAACTATGAATGATATTTTCTCTTTCGATGCTCTCTTAAAGGTTGATATCCCCACTTTTATAGTACATTCTCAATATGATTGGTGGCAATTAGAAATTAGTGATGGATTCGAATGCATTGGTAAGATCCATTTGGATAAATGCACTCCAAAGGAGAAGAAATAGATAGAAAAGATTAGATTAAGCATTCTATAATAATTGAAGGATTTGATGAAAGCCAAACCAGACTGGGGATTATGGGCAATAAGTTGTGTGTTTAATGAATTGGTCATCTGGACTGAATCATGGAACCATCCTAAATTCTAAATTCCTATGTAAAAAGGAGGGTTACTATCTGATAAATTTTAAGAGTATCTATATTTGTTTATTTATTTTAGTTGGCTAGAAAATAGAGGAGAAACTAATGTGCATTATGACATTGTGCCTTGGCCAGATAATAAACCATGTAGCAATATCTTTCATAATGGCAAGACCGATCCATAATTAGATGAGATGATCAGGAATTACGAGATTAAGGAGTCAAGGAGTAAGAGAGAAGAAAAATATGATTTGTGAAATATAATTAATTATTTAATGGAAGAAAGCATCTATAATATAATAACTGAAGATCCACTTCCATCCAAGAGATTAAAAAAATATAAATCCTAATTTCCTGGTACAATATAACCATCTTATAGTACATTTGCTAATCACTCAAATGTAATTTAGGTATGAATTCAGTGTATACACAAGGTTAAAAATATTAGTGGAGATTACTAGTTGGCATCTTAAAGATATGCATCTGAGAGTGGAACGATAGGAAAAGCGAAAACATGTTTATTATTGAATTCAATTATTTAGAACAACTTTCTCCCATCAAACCTAGAATTATGGGTACAAACAATTTGGATGAATGGGTCGAGAAGGGATCTCTTGCTAGAAGTCGAGAATTGACTCATTCGCATAGAAATAAATTGAAACCTCTGGTTCCTAGATCTATCGAAAGACCTACTATGGGATTATAATCTAATAGAAATTTCATAGCTACAAACAAGATTGATGCTATTCTCAAATGTTATTTCGATCTTTATTTTTAGCTCCAAAACAAGAAGATGAAGAATTGAATTGGTTAACCAAAAAAGATTATGGACATATTCCATTATATTTAAGTTAAATCAAAGATCACCTCTAATAATCTTATTTAGAAGAATAAGAAAATGTTAAGCGATAATTGGAAGCACAAAATGATAAATTGTAAATATCTAATATTAATTAGATAATTATTGTCTGAAGAAGAATTAAAATAAATTAGGGAAGGCTTGAAATAAAGATATGATGAAGTTAATAAACAATATCAATAATATACTCATCTTAAAAAGTTTGACACTGTTGGGTTGAAAAGAAGAAAGGAATAATTCGAAAAAGAGTTGATCTAACTAGAAAAAGACATGGATAAATTGAAAAAACCATATGTATTTGTAGGGAAATGAAATTATATATAATATTAATATGAGTAATTATGATGATCTGAAATCAAAGGAAGATTAATTAATGAGAATAAACTCAGAATTAGAATAATAAAGAAGAGCTTTGAAAGAAGATTATGTATGATCTGAATGATAGATTTTAGTTCATATTCAAAAATAAAGATTCAAATTATTAAGATTAAAATTACGATGAGAATATAGATTACAATGAAAAATGAATCCAACGATGTATTTACCATCTAAAATTTATATTAGGTGTAAAAAGATGAAAGCGATTAGGATAAACAATAATAATAATAAAAGTATGATCATCAGAAGATGAAGTTTTCAATAATTATGTTGCTATACAATTGATAGTTAATCAAATAAGAAGCATCAAAAGTGTTTAATAAAATGGAGATAATTAATAATCTATGAAATATGATGATAAAAATAAGAAATTTTGGAATGGGAATTGATTGTGGATGAACAAGGAATTCCTGATCTAAATAATAAGAATGTAAAGACTAAAGATAGGTGCTTTGAAATAAGATTTAGATAGTCTTCTCTAATAAAACATAATCAAAGAAAATTTAATTTAAGAAATAGAATAGAAAGATAGATAATGCACACATTTTTGTTAGTTTGAATGAAAAATAAGAATAATTTAGATTAAAATTATAAAGACAAATTCAAAAAAGATAATTAAAGAATTGAATAACAAATAACAAAATCACTTTAGCTTTAAAAAAAATAATTAAAGCTAATTGAAATTCTTAAAAGATAGTGAATCTATATAATTGCAGCAAGGTTGTCTTAATTTATTGAATCAGACTTTACTAAAACTACTGACCTAAGTAATAAAATATAATACTGAAATAAATTAGTATTAATTTATATATTCTAAATTTCTTAACTATTAATAGTCTAGTTAATACTAATATTTTGGGTTACTTATAGCTTTGTCACCAACCATTTATTTAAATGTTTATTTGGATTTAAAAATGACAATTTTATAATATTAATATAAATTATATAGATTAGAATTACTTGTTTATCAATCTGAATTCCTAAAAAAGAACAGATATTTCAGTAGATTATAGTGAAATTAGATTGGCTATTTCCTAATTTAATTAGAAATCTCTATTATATTTAATAATTTTATATTGAAATAAAAAACAATAAAATAATAATCTAATAATTTAGCAAAAAAAGATGCTATTATTTTGATTAAATTTATAAAACAAAATAAAAATAAAAAATGTTATAATAATTTAGAGTATTGTATGAGAAAGTATAAGGAAATGTAATTTTATGTAATTGAATGAGAATGGGATTAGTTATATTGAATAAAATATTTTTATCATGAAATTTGTTTGGTTAATTAAATCCACCTTTTTTATAATATAAATTAAATGATAAAACAAAAAAAGAAATAATATTAAAACAAGATGGAGTAGCTTATTCAAAATAAGAGACTAGAGCATCTGGAGTTATTGAATTAATTGGAGAGACTGGAAATATAATAATCAACAAAAGAGATACAAATAATTTAGACGATTACACAATAGCAAAAAAGGGAGCAAGATATTGAGATAATGGCTGCACCACAACTAGTTTCACCGAAATGGTTAATGAATTTAAAGCCTACAATGACATATGAATGTGATGTTGTAACTCAAGAAGAGAGTGAATTAGATTAGATTGTTAAGCATCAATTAAAAGAGAAGATTCAGAAGCAGAAAGTAAGATATAATATGAATGAAATAGGAAATGCAATAACAAGCTTATTTAGAATTAATAAACGAATTAGACTTGTAATCAAAACATCACGCTTATGATGAGAAAGTAAAAGAGGATTTCAAATGCACATATCAATTTATGAGTTAGAGGAAACAAGTAAGTATTGACATAAAGTATTATGATTTCTTGAAATTAAACCCTCAGAATTATGTCAATGATACTATCATTAACTTTTTCTTAAGATTCATAGAAAATGATATCTTCAAAAACAAATCTCTATTTATTTACAACACTTACTTTTGCACTCGACTGTTATCATTTCATGCAGAATACAAACAAATTTATACACAGTATTTATAGAACAATTAAATGTTACAGAGATGGACAAAGGATAACATCTTTATGAAACAATATATTTTGTTTCCTCTGCATTTACGTGAACATTGGGCAGTGATATTTGTAGTGAATCCATTGCAAGTTTGCGAACAATTGTGTAATAATAACTATTAATTGAGTACTGATGTGAATAAGAATGGGTATTTAATCTATTTCGATTCGCTTCTTATTTAGGATCAAAGGATTGGAATTCAGATTAAGTTTTATTTGATGCATGTGTATAATCTTGAGCACAAGAGATATACTGATGATTAGATCTATGAGATTGTAATGAGATCAACTGTCCCTGTGTATTAGCCTATAGTACCAAGATAAACCAATCTAGTAGACTGTGGATTGTATATGTTGGAGTATGTGGAGAGGTTTTTAATGAATCCCTATTAAATTCTTAATAATTTGGAGTAGGATCACTTGAAATGGTTTCCCAAAGTGATGATTTTTATTAAACGCATATTAATTAAAAAAATATTAAATGCCTTAAGTTCTGGATAAAAAGATTATGCACTTAGATACCAGGAAAATTGTAGAATGATCGATCAACAATTCAGTATTTATTTATTGATTATTATATATTAGCTGACTCAAATCAATACGACTATATAGATGAATAACTACTTGAATAATTGTAAGTGCCACGTTTACAATTTCATTTAAGCGAAGATTATAATTACTATTATGATGTTTCGCCTAGTGTTGGTGTGTGATAAATATATATATATTATCATTAATTTGACTATTTATTCTCATCCTGAATCGTATCCCATTTACACTTTTGTTAACTCCTTCTATTTTTCATTTTTCATCCTCTTTTCTAATTTGCATATTCAGAATCTAATTCTTTAACTAACTAAGTTTTTCTGGAAAAAGAATATGAACAACAAAGTCAATTGATTTATTAAGCAATGTTGTAATCTTGGTCATTCTCTTCTAAGTGTTATCTGGGAGGAATGATGGCTTAGTAATAAGTGATTAAGTCTGTGTTATTTATTTACTTGATAGGCCAAGATAAGATTAATTACTAAAGAAACATCAGTCTTTTTTACCTTTATAACCTATGTAAAAGATTGGTTTGTTAACTATTATTCATTTATTATTATTCCCTATTCACATGTTATTCTTGTATTATGTTGAACATTTCTATGACAATTAAAATTAAAATTTACTAATGCTAGCTAAGATTTTGGTTGGTTTTGAATTCATTTAGTTAGTGTCTATTAAATTTACTGTTATGCTAATTTTTATAAAGTTCCTATCACCTCAAACTCACAATTATCTAAATTTTAAATGACTTCAGCTCAATATCATTTATATCTCTATATAGATGCAGTCAAGCACTATTCATAGTCTCTTGCCTAAAAATTAAATCTCCTCTCAATAACCTACAACTTTTACTATTAATAACTAATGAAACTGAACTTCAACCATATATGTAACTTAGTTCTATCATCAAACACTTCTATTTTATTTTATATAATTTAATTTTCCCACCAATCTATTAAATTAACAAGGAAGAGCTATCTATACAAATAAGCTGGTTATTTTAGAGTCAAACTCAATTCATATACTGAAGTTAAAGATTAGAGTGCATCACTATTCACCAAAGAGAGTTTCCTTTGCATAGAGATGTGATGCATTTTAAAGTGATCTCAATGATTTTGGAATTAAATATTGCACTCTCATAAAATGCTACTCTTTTGTGTGTGTCATCTGAACTTTTGACTTGAGCTTCTCCTAAGTCAGAGTTCTTATCATCATCTTGAGATCGCACATTTAATATTATATAATGCTTATCTTATTTAGTGGAGAGGTCTAGTGATTTTGAGTTACCCTCCTTTAAATCAAATAAGAAATCCTTCTATTTTTTGGCCATCTCTTAGATGACCATCAAAAAAATAGCAGTCAAGAGGGTAATCATTAATTAAATTAAATGCACTCATATTTAGAAGAATTAAAGTAAAAAGATGTCATAGCTAAATAAATCAATTTACTCATTCAATAACTTCAATAACATCAATTAACCTAATCTCTTGTTCCTAAAAGTCATTAAGATATAGCAGAATTTATGGTACTCAATAGACTCAGGAATATTGACACATATATTCAGTTATGTGAAATGACAGGAAAATGTTTGGGATAGGCCAGATCAGATATTAAAGAAAATGACAATCAATTAAATGATCAATTTCACATACAATTATTGTAGTTTGGACTACAAAGAAAGAAGCTAGAAAAGAAGAACTCTCGGAAATAACAGAAAATGCCCATCATTCACATTAATACTCCCAGTACTGAATAAGATTCTTGTAGTTTATATAATAAAAAATTAAAGAAAAAGGATAAATATTTAAAATTGCAGTAAGTCATGAGTGAAGTACAATCGAAATAGTCCTTAAAAGATAGAGTGAAAATCGAAGAATACTTTTAGAATAAAAAATTGTAGAAGTTATTGCAAATAGATGGATGGAAGATTATCGATTAATCACCTTTATATGAACCAGTACCTGATAGCTTAATAAAGTAATCCTTGCATCATTATTATTCATATTGTAAGGTAGTTCTTGAGGAGTTTGCAGATATTATCGCTCTTAAGTCATAATCTTGATTTCTCAGTATTTTATAATATTCATACACAATTATCAAATTATTAATACTATATTTCTATATAATTTTGACAATCATCTAAAATTTTAAAGAAAACCTACATTATGCTAAACAATCAAACAGATTCAGAATTAATACTTAGTATCGATAGTTAAATGGAAAATAACAATCAATAACTTAAAGTAAATAAACAAACAGATCCAATTATTGAATGGGAAGACTAGAAATCTCAATCCATTCTTAAGACCAATCATCTTCCAATCACACTAGATAATTCATCTCAGGACAGAAAAAGATTCTATTCCAACAATGAATTTAGAAAAGTCTCCTTTGATGAGAGTCTCAATACAGTGCATACATATACTAAAGATAATAGAAAAGAAATAAAAAACTTTGAAACAAGCTTTAAACAAAAGAAAAAGGTAGATAAACCTGAACTTCCAAAATCCAAGAGATTTGGAAATCACAAAAAAAGAAAAAACTCTTTTTGACCAATAATTAGATGTTATATATATTACCGTTATTATAGATCTATTTAATTATTTCTCTTTCTATTTACATCATTCTTCCAATTGTTTAAGTAGTAGATCCTGTCATCATATATATTTCTCATAGCTATCCTAATTTAATGGAATAATTTTAATTTATTCTTAGGCTCAAATCTTAAAGTAAATTACATATTAAAAAATATTAATATATTATTATATAATTGAAAGATTGTCAAAATGATTTTTAAAGCAATTAATAATACAAATAGATGATTTCCATTTATTTATAAAAATTAAATTTAAATGTTGGAATGAAGTTGCCTACAAATAATAATTTGAAAACGATAACATTTAGTTTTATGTTTAAAATTTCTAGTTTATAAATTGTTAATTGCCAAATATCTTGTTTACAATACAGAATTTAAATTAGAAATCAATCCTTTTTATTTTCTTATTGAGCTTTCTCAATTTACTCCTATATTTTTTGAAACTATGCTTCTTTCTCTAAGGCATCATTAATTTTTTTTTGGTTTTCAAATCCTTCAATTGCATTCTAAAAATCAAATAAATATATTACAAATAAATCAAGTGTTATTTCTTCATTCAATTCAAAAAATGCTAAAAATTTGTACATAATATCTTTCAATGCTCCAATTTTAAAATTAAACAATAACATATTTTATGCCATTTGAGTTAAAATTGTTAAGATCATATTCTTTTCTGCTTAAATTTATTCATTTTGACTAAATTGAAATATATCTAATACTTTGGTAATCTTTATTTCTTTTATTACTCTTTTATTTTTTCATAAATTGATTAAATAATACTTGTTTCCCACAAATCTCGAGTTTCCCAAACCTGATGTTTAGCAAATTCATTTGATAAAAAGTAACACTGCATTTTGTTATTCTCAATTTTCTCTTAATAGAAAGTAAATGAAAGATTCATTAATTATCTTGAAGTCCCTGCATCAAATGTATCTAAACACTAAATTATTTTAATTTAATACTATTTCCAATAATGAATTGAATAACTTAAGTACATTCTAAAAGGCTATAGTTCCTAGTTTGAATTAAGTATTCAGTCTTTTATTTTAAATTGCCAAAATTACGAGCATTCTCTATTGGTAATTATCCTTTGTTTTTTTCTTTAATTCTTGGAATACTTGAATTGAGAGTTCCTCTTCCTTCCAACAATCATGTATCAATTTAGCAGCATAATAAGTTTCCTATTATTTTTAATCTTCTGGTAAAACCTCGATTCCTTAGTCAACGCTAGCAATGATATTATTGACAGATTCATCATTATTTAAATTCAATAATTCATCAAATTCTTTCTAGAAGAACTTTTATAAACTATTGCTAATAAAGGTGTTCAAATGAACTATTTCAGTTTTTTCAAAAAGTGATGGACCATCTTGTTTAATATTGGTAATAAATTTATTAACTTCATCTTTAGGTTAGATTTCATTGATTACTTCTGTAATTTTCTCAAGATCATATTAGACATTTTTAGAATGAGAGACCTCAAAGATCTAAGTGTGAATATATTAATTATTTACAATTTGTCGTATTAAAGTATCTTAGAGTATGCCAATCCTCTTTTCTTCTTGCTCTTACATAACATTTAGTATTTCTTGCATTCTAGTTTTAGAGGTTTCACAACTGGAATTATACTCGAACACAGATTGTTTATATTATTATTCAAGATCTGAGTATTCCTTCTTGATTTGATTCACCTTATAGTATTAATTGATTCTTTTCTTCTCTGAGTATTCAGATAGTAGATTATAGACTACCAAAACAGTTGCATACTACTCATACTCTCTTTTCTTTTATTTGTACTCTTAGAAACTCTATTAACTTTTAATTCAATAATACTTTCTTGAATTCCTAATTTAAGAGTAAATTCTCCTTCTCCATTTTCTTGGCTTCTTCTATCAGCTTTTTTGATGCACCATTTTATTATTGAATGACTTATTTAAGCTACGTAATCAGATCCTCCCTTATTTAAGAACACAAACTCTAAGCCTAATATTACCTGCTTGATGTTAGACTTTTCAAACAGAAAATAGGAACCTTGTACATTCTATTAATCACTTAATATTTGTACTGCTATCTCTCATCCAATTTGGCAATATTAGACACTAATTTTTCTAATGATTTGGCATATTTTTCTTCTAAATTTGCTCTCTCTTCAAACAAATCTATAATCTCTTCAATTATTTTTCGACCTGTCTAAGATTAATTTGCCACCTATGTAAAATATGAAAACAATGATTCTGCATAATTTTGTTGCATTTTATTAATTAATTATCAAATATAACAAGTAATATTCTATAAGATATTCTTAAACTTTACTTCTTCTTATTATCATTTTAATTAGTATAAACGACAACATTCATAAGAATAATGTTCTAAGCTAATATCTTTATTAATTTTTTTATTTTCTTAAATTAATATTTCATGGAGGAATAACTTTCACAATTAAAACTTTAAGTTGATCAACTAACTGAAGAAGCAGAGTATGATTTCCAAAAAGGAGAACATTACAAACCTCAAATTACATCCATTATTAAATAAATTGACTCCTTGATTGAAAATGAAGAATTAGAAAGTAATTTGAATTTTTTATATTTTTAGTCTCAAAGAAGCATAAGATAGAGCTCTATTTCTTAAAAGGAAAGGCCTCAGATATTCTACCAGAATATTCCAAGTTTGCTGAAGAAGCTCTTACCAAAGCAGTAAAAATTAATTCAAAATCAAATTTAGATGAAATTGAACCCTTTTCACATAGACAGCTTAAATACCCTTGGACATATATTATGGAAGAAAAAAGATTTTCTAGCAGCCAAATAATGTTTTGAAACTGCAATTGAAAAAGATCCAAATAATATAAAATCATTATAATACTTATCGATTGTTTTGAGACAAGTCGGAGATTAAAAGGATAAGAGTGCAAATGTGACCAAATCTTTAGAAATAGCTAAGAAAGCCTTAACTTTTGATTTAAAAAATTCATAATCTTGGTATTTGGTTGGGAATGCTTACCTCTCTGATTATTTTATGAATCCAAAGAAAAATAATAATGAATTAAATCTCGCTTTATCTGCATACAATTAATCAGAAAAGAATTAAACTAGAGAAAACCCTGATTTATATTTCAATAGAGGAAATGTAATAGTATATTATCTAATCCTAGATTCACTGTTATTTTGAAGATTATCAATTGGCCTTCAATGATTATCAGAAAGCCAATTAAATAGACTAATCCTTAACCAATGATACATTAAAAGAAGTCTAATAGAAAGTACTAAAAGTGTATGATTTGGTCACAAACAAATGCAGGATAACATAAAAGAAGCTATCAAACATTGTCAAATAAATTCCAATAGGATTGAGAGAATAACCTAAAGGATTCGATAAACCACTTTAAATGTGTACCATAGGAGATCTTAAAGATGGAATAAATAAAGGCGTGATTCTAGCTAGCAAAAGTTTGGTAAGTTATACACAGTAAAATACAGTGCCTGCTGGATTTGTGATAGTGGATAGTAAATTAAATTTTGCTAGTCTATCTATTTATAATGCCTCATAAGAAATTTATGAGAAGATTAGAGAATTAACTGATGTGTTTATAATTGAACCAGAAGTGAAATAAATAAATTGCGAAATAGATGGAAAAGTAATAAATATAGAGATTATAATAGCAAATATCTTATATGTGTATATAGGTAAAAGACGCAAACAAAATTTACGTTGAGAACGAAAAAATAGTTAACCAATTAGCACATTCAATGGTCGTTAATTAAACATTTGAGAAGTGAGATTTTGATCTATAATATTTTTGATTGAAGTATCATTATGATTTGATAATGTATTTTAGATAAATATTTAAAATTCAACCATTCTTCAAACGTGAAATCTAATAATTAAATTACTATATTATTAAATGCAGCAAGGTGAAGTTAATTTAACAGAGAAGAGATAAATGAGAAGAGCAAGAACTAATTTTGAGAGTGAAATGTAATTTCATAGTTTATAGAATAAAGGGATGACTAAATGAATGAGAAAATGACATGCTATGAAAGTGTTTTAAATTGTTTTGGATCCTTCTTTGGAACCTTGAGAGCTTGGTTCCCATGCTGTTGTTGTTGCTTTCCATATCCGTATTATGAAATAACTCAGGGATCCAAGGGATTGTTATAAAAATTCGGAAAATATTAAAAGACCTTGGAACCTGGACTACATGAATTCAATCCGTAATCTATTTATACTATTCCTTAGCTTTACAGATAGAATCATTCCTGTGAGTACAAAGACATTGTAATTCAATTAGATTTTAATAGTTTAGCATCATTGATTTAGAGAGATAACTTATTTTGACTAAAGACAATATCACTGTCAATATTGATACGATCGTTTATTATAGAGTTGTAGACGTGTGTAAGTCAGCCTATAGAGTCAAAAAAATTGTAGAAGCAGTTAAAGAAATAACATACGCAGTATTAATAATATTTGATTTTAAGACTCTTCGAACCGTTGCTGGTGAACACACTCTATAGGATATAATTGAGAATAGATAGAAGATCGCTGATGAAATAGAGGGGTTTGTATTTGATGTTGTATCAGAGTGGGGTGTATTTCATTGTTTATTTACGTTAGGAATCTTCTTAGAACATGTTTTCATTAAGGATATGTAAATGGGAGATGAATTATAAAGTTCATTATCAAATGCTCCCAAGGCCTAGAGATTAGCTTAGTCTAAAATCATTTCAGCAAAAGTAATGTTATGTTAAACTTTAGAGTGATGTTGAGGCTGCTAAGCTCATGAGAGAGGCTGCTGATATGTTAGATTCTAAGGCAGCTATGTAAATTCGATACTTTGAAACTATTTAACTTATTGCAAAAAACAAAAATCCAAAAATATTGTTTTTGTCTATGGATTAGACTTAAAAAAAATGATTATAGATTATCACAATTCATTCATGTTCAATAATATAATATTGAATAATGGATCTAAATTTAGATATCATTATATTATCATCTATTAGTTTTAAATAAGAACAGAGTCTGATTTATTTTTCTAATAAATATCAAATTAAAAATGAATTAAACAGGAGATTTGGAAATTTTAAATCACTAATTGAGCATCTAAAACAACAAGATGTCCCTTTAAATAGAGGTCTTATCATAATAACTCTAATTACTTAGAAAATAAATTCAATAATTATAAGAAAGGGCAGCAGATTACTAAAATTTAAGTGCTGAAAATGTAACTTTAAAAAAAGACATTATGAATTTATAAGAACAAATTTAGGCACAAGAATCAGAGTAATTGTTAGTTCAAGAGAGTTAGTTCAACTCGCAAATTCAAGAAATGCAAAAAAGACATAAAAAGCAAATATAAGACTTAAAAACTTTATATGAGGATAAAATTATAACGTTGTAGAAAGAAAAGACCTCTATGTAAGATTAGGCTATGTAAATGGGAGTGTCTAATTAAGCATCGAAAACCTTGGAATAGTAAGCTGCTAAAATAATACAAATAAGCCATAAGTTAGAGTAATTAATTTATATAAGTCAGAAAAACCTTGTCTGATCTTCCATCCCAAAGTCCCAGTCATGGACATATAGGAATATCTAAAGAAATGTACGATTAAATGTTGGAACAGTTAAAAACCAAATCCTCGAAAAATATAATCTTGGAAAAAATACATGACTAGCAAAATAAGTAAATTCTATTTGCTATAGTTTAGTTCTCAGCGATACAAGAAAATGTCCATTGCCAACATCAAAAAGGAAACTAATTTTAGTGTCAAAAGAATTTTGCATTACAATAAACCATAAGAGTCTCCAAGAACTCAAAACTCTATAAATGCTCTCACAATAAGTACATTAACCAAGAAGTCTTGATCATTATTTTACTTAAATATAATACATTTCATAAATTTAACAGAAAAAATTTAGACGGTTGTCATTGGCAGCTTGATTTCTTTTAATAACATATAAATTAATTTGTAATATTTGATTAAGTTTAGAATGAATCGTATAAGGAAAATTATTGGAATATGTTTAAACTAAATGATTATCAATAGTAATGATTAATTAAGTCTATCTCTCTTAAGACTGACTACTTACCATATCTATTTCTTTTTGGAGTTCCAACGACATAGGTTGAGGATGACCGAACTTCTCTAACAGGAGTAGAACGCTTTATTTAAGTTTCAAGAAAAGTATTCTTGGACTTTTCATAGCATTTCTCATCAATTAATCTACTGTTATCCTTTTTTAAAGATGATACTCGATACTCTAGCAATATAGTCAATATAAATATATTACCCATTTCATTAATTAGTTTAGTACTTTATTTCTCATATTGTTTTAGTTACAATTACCATTATTAACATTATTCTTTAAGATTTTTGTTCTCTTCTGTCAATGTGGCAATTTATGAATGTAGTTGCACAACAAATTAATTATATTATATTTATTATGCTTCAGATAATCCTTTTAATTCTAATCTAAATGATATTTATTATTATTTACTTAAAAACATGATCTATATTTATCAAATATTTTTGCTAATCTACGAGGAGATCTTAAACTTACAACTTGAAATATTCCTATTATTGCATTATTTCTGTTTTCAACAACTAATTTTCTGTATTTAAATTCTAAATAACATTTTCTAACCCTCTTTTTTCTAATGTTATCTATTATGAATAGTTTTCAAGTTTTTCTCTTTCTTAGGCAATCTCTTTTTCAATTTTCACCTTCAAACTTGAATCCACTGCCTTTTTTAAGGCTTCAATTTCTTTTTAATGTTTATCTTTAAGTAAACTCAATTACTCTCTTAATTAACTTGTTTCAGCCAATTCTTGAGATTATATTTCAATTCTATTTTCTGCAAATTTTAATTATTAATGGGTTTCTGATAACAATTATTTTATTTAATTTAAATTAGATAAGGTCTCTTACAAATTATTGGTTATTTTGATATTTTCTTCTTAGGTTTTATGTAATTTGGTTTATATCTATTGAATTTCATCTTAAAATCTTTATAATTTCTCAAGTTAGTCCTTGTTTTACATTTCATAATTTTCCTCCATACGGATAGTCTTTAATTTCCAATTATCTATTTCATTACTCTGTTCCACAGTAAGTTATTGAAGTCTGTGTAATTCATTTCTAAGACTTTGAATTTGCGGTCTAGTCTCTTCGATTTCTTCCCCTTTAATGTTACTTTGATAGGATAATTGCTATATGTAGGATGCTTATTCATCAATTTTCTGCAATAAAACATTGATTCTGTCGTTTAGATTATTGACTTCTTTATTTTTTTATTATAAAATTTGTTCTGTTTACTAAGTTATAAGAATAATACGTTACCAATTTATTTTGCTGTTAATTTTACAACAATTTAATATCAAATTGATTTTGTTATTATTTAAGGTAGGATGTATTCTCTTGAAACAATTTATCGAATTTCAACTTTTAAGCTTCTAACTCTTTATATTGCATAAGTAATTGTTATTCTTTAATCTAAATATCTTAGGCATTGTCTGCTAATTACTTTTCTAGGGTAGTGGTTTTATTAATTTCATTATTTAGATTTTATCTAGTTTAATTAAGTAGTTTTTATAAATCTTCATTTTCCATAATCACTTATTAAATTTACTTTTTAAGATGATTTATCTCCATGTTATAATTATTTTGATTTTCCTATTGTTATAACTTATGATTTCTGTTCAATTCGTTTAGGTTGGATTTCATCTAATTAATATCAATTTTATATTGTTAAAATTCTTAATCATTTTTTTCTAATTGTAACCTTTCTTCTTTTTCCAATAGCTTCAATTCTTCAAATTGTATTATTAATTCTTCATACTTTATTCTTCTACTCTCAATATCTTTTTCCAGATTGATTAATTTCTATTTTTATTATCTATTTTCATTGACTTATGATTCTAATGATATTTATAATTATGAGATCTTTTCGCTATTCTTTTTAATAACAGCATCCTACTATTCCAAAATGTTACTAATTTATTGATTATTATTAAGTAACTCATTTCCTTTTTTATCCTTATAATCAAGTTGTTCTTTTACCATTTATAGTTCCTTTGTACAAGTCTTCAATTTCTCTTCGTATGATTAAATATGATCTGAATTTTATTTTAATTCATTGAGTAACTTCTCAATGTTGACTGTTAGATTCTTATTTTGTTGTTCATACATTTCTCCATAATGAGCTTTCCATTTTTATTCAATCATTTCTGTTTCAACTTAAAACTTTTTTTGTAATGATTCATACTGATAAGACAGTTCTTCCAATTAGATTTGTAAGCTCTAATTCATTAAAACAACCTTCTCATTTTCATATATCATTTTTGTAGTTCTATTTTCTATTGTTCTATATCTATCATCTTTTTATGATTAATAAGCATTCTATAGCATTCGTTATTCCTCTTACAAAAATTCAATTTCTCTATTTTTATCATTCAATTATGATATTAATCTCTCATTCTCTGTCGCTAGCATCACTACTTTATTTTCTAATTCTTAAACTGTTAATCTTTGTTGGCTTTGATTTAACTCTGCTAATAGATCCCTTTGATAGAAATGATAATCCTTTTTATCGCTAAGATTACTGATATTATGAAGAGATGAATCTTTATCAAAGTACATCTATCTCGTGTCATACATATTATTTAAATTTAAAATTCTTTAAACAGTTAATCGATTTTTTTTATTAATAGATTTTCTCGTTATCAAAGAATATGTCAATTCTAACATTAAATATATTTATTAGATGGAATTGTTTTATAAAGAGATAGCTTAATATTCTAACAATAATTTTTACATAACAATATTAGAATATATTCTTAGTAGGTGAATTAAGTAGATAAATATTTTAATAAAGATTTATGAAATAACTGTTGTTAGATTACAACAACAAAATCTTGAATAGAGTTTAATCGTTAATCCTTAAATCTAATTGAAAGATTTGCTTAAAAAAATACAAATGAATATTAGATAATTTAAATTATTGATATCAATAATATTATCAATAGATTAATTTTTTAGGTATATATTAACTTAGCTAAGATGGAGAATTGTTTGTTATATATTTTGTTGATAATAATCATTTATATTTTAAATAATCAAAAATAAATAGAATGAAAAAATGGGATGATGATGCTCGATTGAAGAGTTATGTAAATAAAATTCTAAATGTGAAATCAACTATGAGAAATAATTAAAAAACTACTTCCAAAAGTAATTAATTCAATGATTTTGATTTAGAGAGAATTAATAGAGATACTGAATATAGTAGCAATGTAACTAACCGTTCAGATTTAACAGGTTTTAAAGATAGCATACTTTTTAAGTAATGAGAATTAAGAAATAATAGGTAATTAGTGGAATACAATTTATAATAATACACGAATAAATTATTGTTAAGAGGATATAAGAGTGGTTTACAATTATTAGCATAACAATCTTAAGAATCCTAAAACATAGTATTGTAAGAGATTAAGCTATTACCTGGACATAAATAAAAATTTTAGGTTATGCTCAAGCAAATAAGTGATAATTTAGATACTTACAATGACAATAATACTTAGTTAGTAAATCATAATCATTTTGCTTAAAATCGATTTACTTTACCTGGCTAATTGAATTCTCATGGACAATTTGAGTAAACCAAAGAAGTATACATGGAAATTCTAAAGCCCATTAATAGAAAGGCATCCATGAAACATTTTTCACCTCCCCAGGAATTGAATTAAATTAAACCAAGAGTATTACCAAAATTGGAGAAAGTCTCAAGTAAAGGAAAAAAAGAAAGAACTCTTTAGGTAGAAGATATTACTGCAAAATAAGGAGATTAGTAATTTTAGAATATTGTATAATTACCTAATACAAAGGAGATGGTTACTAAACAAGTATCCAAGACAGTTAAGAATCCTTCATAAAATTAAATAAAGAAAAGGGTAACTACATAGAAATCTTTTCAAGAAAAGCCAAATAAATTTATCAATAAATTATTACTAATAAATGGAAAAAACACTAATGAAATTAATTTAGAAAGGGAATCAATATAATTATTATATCAATCTTTTGATAATGGAAGATTAGCATCAACTTTAATTAACATTGATATTGAAGAAATCAGTTATTGTGTTGGGATTACCATTAAAAAAATGATGGTTTTAGCTGACTTAGATTAAATTAATAATATTAGTTAACTTTAATGTATTGATGATAACAAATAGAGTTAACAGGATAGTATAAAACAAATATATTATTAGATTAGTATATCATAAATGAAAGAGATGTTGTAAATAATAGAGATGAAAATGAATTTATTTAAGATTAGACTTTTTAATTGCAACAAGACGATTATGAATAATAAGATATGAAACAAGACTATCTAGAACTATAGCAAGAGGAAGATCTCGACCAAAATTACCTTGAAAGTTTTGAAAATGCTGAATAATAAAACTGTCATCCAGATTTAGGATACCTAAATGAATAATTCTAAGAAGATGATGAAAATAAGTTATTATTTAATACTATAATTTAAGTTAACAATTACTTCAATCGTAATTTTCAGTTGATACAACGTTAAATTTACAAGATTCTCAGTTATTTAATAAAGTTTTTATTGATTTTTCATTGAGCAATTGTATACCCAATGTGGATATCATTCAAAATTATTGTAAAAACATTATGACAACAACTAAAATGGAAAGAGAAGTAGCAATTATATCTATGATCTATATAAATAGACTATTAGAACACAATTAAGGGTTAGAAATAAATTGTTTGAATTGGCAAAAGATATTGTTTACAGCATTAGTTATGGCTTCTAAAATTTGGGATGATGAATCATTTGAAAATAATAACTTTGCCAAAGTTCTACCATAGTTTTCAACTATTCAAATAAATGAAATGGAGAAAGTGTTTTTAAAATTAATTGAATATCATCTTTATGTCAATTCCGGTGATTACGCTAAGTAATATTTTTTATTGAGAACTTATGCAGATAAAAAATAACGAAGTTTTACAGTTAAATAATTAGATATTGCTACTGTTTTAAGATTATAAAGAGGTGGTCCATAGTTGATTACAAAGCAATAATTTTTAAATACTTAAAATAAAAGTTTTTGATATTACTCCATATTATAACTGTGTATATACACTCTTCCTTATTCATCTTTTCTTTTAGATCATAATTTTCAGTAAAATATTATAATAACTTATTTTAAGAAATAAATTAAAAATATGTAACTCATTTCTTCTTTTATTTTGGATCTGTTTTATCTTAATGAAGTTAATCATAACAATATACCTTATGCTTTCGTGTCCTTCTTGTCATTTTTCCCTTAATTTTAATCTTTTGGATTTTTTTCCTTTTAATCTTTATTACCTTTCTAAGGTGATTTATTTTTGTCATTTTTATCGTTTTTCTGGTCTGCTTTAACTTCGACTTTACTAGCTTGAAGCTAAGCCTTAAGTTTTTCGTCTTAGTTTATTTGAGTATATGCTACTTAATTAGAGTTCAGCCAAAGATTTCGCCATTGTCTGTTGTCGAAACTGTTCAGCTTATTTCTTTTTTTCATATTTTAAAACAGCTTAAGCTGCATACTCATAAACATTTCCACTTGGAAATCCATCCTTACAAAGTCTTCTCAAAAAATATTCATAAGCAGCCAATACACCACTGTTATTCAATATTTATTCTTTTCAATATTTTAAATGCTATATACATTTTTATTCTAAAATATGTTTCTCTTCGTTATTTAATTCTTGATCACCCTATAGTTAATCTTAAGTATCATCCACGGCTCCTTTCATAATTATTTACTAAATTATTTATAATATTAATTAATATGAGAAACTATGAATAATAAGTATATATTTGATCGAATTAAGTCGATTATTGCTGATCATTAAATTTTCGATTAAAATATCATATGAGAGTTCGATTTAAATTTAACCATAAAGATAAATCTTGTTCTTTTTTATTTAAAATATATGAATGATCACTTTTAGACAATTTTCAATCATTCTAAATTTTAATTCAGTATGTTTATCACACTAAAATTTTTATTCCATGAAACTATGAATTAGCAAATTTAGGTAAAGGTATAAAGTAAAGAATGATTCTTAAGGGTTTATCAACATCTCCCACATGATTTAGAGTTTAAACCTTTTTATCTTTGAATAGGAAATTATTCTAAACAAGAAAAAGAAAAAGTGGTATCACCTATATGATTTCACACTATATTTACTTAGTTTAATTTGTTCTTAATTATTTTTCTATTACTTTTTTTATCTTGAAAAATAACAAATAGTTCAAAAAATCAAAGAGAGTTCAATCTATTATTCTTAATAATCTTGTTAAGTAAACCTTAATTAAAATTGGCATCTTATAATAATTAAAATTAACATACTAATTTCAAAGTTTGCTTATAGAATTCTCATTCAAAGTAGGGATGTAAGTTATATTTTTATTTATTTTTTGATAATTATAAAATTTTAATGTTTCCAAAGAATAAATTCAGAAATTTAAATAATTCAAAACATTAAAAATATTTTTATTTTTTTTTAATTATGAATCCCGCCTAAACCATTGCACAATAATTCCTTTAACAATACTACTAGACTTTAATGACAAACAAAATGGGATTAATCTAATTTTATACAGATGCCTCTCATATGACATATGGTTTTTATTTGTATTTATTATTTTTAGGTGGATAATAACATGATGGCTTAAAATAAATCAACGAAAAATTGGAATCATTGGCTTTCTAAAAAATAGTTTATAAAATTGATGATATGGATGTTTAACCAGGAGCATTGGAGAATTCATTATTCATTTTTGTCACTGGGTAATTGCAGATGGATGATGCTGAGACATACAAATTCTCATAAAGTTTTTAAATTCTTCCAAATGGCTAAGGAGGTTTATACGTGCATAATGATATCTTCAGATTAGTTTATTGATATATATTAATAATAAAAATTATTAAAAATGGGATTCGAAGATTAGATTCCACCAATTCCAAATAGAGATTAAGAAAAGAGATATATTGCCACAGTTGAAAAGTCATTCTACGACTAACCACTCTATAAATTTTATATGAATGAAGCATTAAGAGAAAGAAAGATGGATTATGCTGATAAATTAAACACATTCAAATATGAATGGATTCTAAACTTTGCTGCTTCTGGAATTGTATTCAGCTTATTATATGTAATATTTAGTATTGAATCATTAGTTTATCCCTGTGTCATATTAATATAGATAAACATCAACAGGCGTTCCAACATACTATCAGTATTTATCTAAAATTTAATTTTAGACCCAAGAATAAAGCTGTCTTCAAATAAGGATACTTGCAAAATTAAAATTGGAGGAGATTTAAATTGTATTCATTCCTTGTTTTTGGATCAGCATTCATATTTGCTCATACTTATACAGATAGATCATAAATTCATGATGAATATTACAATAATGTGGGTGTCATCAAACCAAAGTTTGAATGAATAAATCGATAAATATACAAATTTTAATTATAATAACAAAATTACTATTAGCGCATCAATATTTAAATAAATGAGAAAAAGATAATTTAAATAAGCAATTATGTTATCCGTTTAAATCTATACTATTCTCAATTATAATTGATCTATTCAATATTTATATTATTTATAATTTATTTTTAAAACAAAATTAATCAAAGCACAATTCTTAACACCATTCCAAACTAATTTTGTAAATCTTTGAAATCGATTCAGTGTCATTTAAATCTTAAAATTCTAAGATCTTATTTAACAATATTTATTCATTAGATTAAGAAATGCCTTTATAGCAGGTGCATTGATAGCACATAAATCCCAGCAATTATACGTATAAAATGTTACTTCTTACATAACACCTAATTTATATTATATAGAGAAGATCTTTATGCTGGATAAAATTGTATAAAGATTTTGTAACATATTTAATAACTTATTAGGATTATTCAATATAAATTATGAATAGCCCATAATGGTTTAAATTAGAGTAAAAAATATTTAATGCAGATTATAAATATTCAATATTGGTAACTATTCAATTAGACGATAAAGTCAGATGATTTTTATGCTACATTATTATCACATATTTGATATGATTTAAAAATTTCCATTTATTTTTCTAAACTATTTTAGGCAACTGATTCATTATTGTCATTACTTTAATCTAATTAGAATATATATATATAATACCAGACTCCTCAATATTTTACTACTCTTATTAAAAATCCTTTTCATTTTTTTATATCTATTTATCCATTTCTTCAAAATCTACAATATCAGGTTCCTAATTTTTTTAGTATGGAACTTTTTCATTTTAAACAATCTCCTCTTGACATTTATCCATTTTTTCAAAATCTACAATATCAGATTCCATATCTTGTTATTAACCATTCGTTTGCTCAAATATGTTTATAAAATTATTAAAGTGTTATTGGTTAAGTTTCAGTTTATTATATTCTTAACATCTATCCAAAGAAGAAGATAATATCCTCTCTATATTTTCCCTCGATGAAACGCTTTGCATATTTTCAATCAATCTATCAGAACTAGTGTATTTTGCTACTGATTTTAGCATATACTCAATTTATTTTGCTATTGATTCTAGCATACCCTTCAAATTATGATTGAATTATTGACAAATTTTATTATTCATATTTTCACCATTTATGCCAGATAATAATGTATAATCACTATCTTCTATAGAAGTCTTGGCTTGAATTTTGCCCAGACAAAATTCCAGTTATTCTTTATTTGTTTTAAAGCCTTATTATATTTAATTATTATCCTTCTTACAACTTTTGAGTATTTCGGAACTTTTTTGAATTTCCTGAAGTAAATCATCATATTAATTTATTTTGTCCATATACATGTTCAAACTGGCTTAAATATACTCTGATATTAGAAATATTTTTGCTATTGAATTTTATTTTGTGATTTCAATTTCATAACATTCGCCACATAAGAACGTCAATATTTCTTGATCTATATAACATCCTATAGGCGTTTATCGTTGATCTATTAGATGAGTACACTTATATCTATAATTGTGATGTTCTTACAAAATCATTTTTATTTTTTTTATAAAATTTTAATTTTTAATGTTTAGTTTAAGCTATATTATTATTAGTGAAATGATAATAACAATATATATAGATATGTATCATTTAGGATATCTTAGTTCATTCTCTGGAATAAAATGAACAAATATTTTTGGTTAAAATTCATTGAAGTATTCAGGCCCTTTTGAAAAATCATTACCTAAAGCATATGCTAGCATGGAACCATCAGGACTCATTTTGGCACAGACAATAGGATTACAATTGAATTAAAATGTTCTGATTTTATTTCTAACATTAATATCCCAAAAGATCATTTGACCTTCTCCTCCAGCTGTCATTAAAAAGTAGTTGTTTTTGATATTCATTTGGATGCAATTAACAGGAAAGAAATAGTTTTAAATTTTTCCTTTTTGATTATCTTCAACCTAAATAATGAACAATATATTTACTTTATGAGCTTTAAAAGTCATGATTGATTTTAATGAAAATTCAGTAGGCATTCCGTGAGTGGATTTGGTTGTAATATTCGTCTAATGTCCTCTACCATCAATGGATCCCAAAGTAAACCCATCTCTTGCTGGAAATATTGCTATTGAAGTTAATTGTGAATAGGTTCCCAATGGTGAATCAATGTATTAAAATCTACCCGGTAACTATTACAATTCATTCAAATTAATGATTGTTAATTTTTCAGATGCAAATCCAATAACCAATAATGGGAAATTACAATCAGATACCATTGGTTTGTATTAGAATTGACATTAAAATCTTGGTTATCCTGGAGCTCTGATATCCCACATTTTTAATGATTAATCTGTAGATATTGATAATATCATTTATGCTGATTCTATCCAATAAACAGAAATTATTAATGCTTAATGTTGTCCTACTGAAACCATCTAGCCTGAATTAACATCAATAACTCTGACTGTGTGATCAAATCCACATCCTACGAATATTTGAGACAAATCTCCCTTAGCATCCATACAAACTATTGGATTTTATACTTATCCAACTGCTCCATCAACCTAAAAGGATCTTCTTTCAAATAATTCTCTTTTGTATGAGTTTTGTTGGATCTCCAATATTCTGACCTTACCATCCCAAGAAGATATAGCTAAGAAATTAGGTATGGTTGTTCCCCAACATATTGCTGAAACTGAATCTTCCAATCTAATTCTCTATTCCAAACTTGCATCATTAACTGAATCATCAACACCTCCAGGCAATACGATTTAATTACCAACTTACCCTTATTGTCCTAATCCACCTCCAAATCCAAGACCTGGTTGAACTTATTATTAAGGTTATTATTAACCAAAAAGAGAAGTCCCAGGAGCAGCAGTTTATTATTATCCAAATCCAAATCCAGTCTGTTGTGGTTATTAAGGTGTCTATCCAAATAAGCCTCCCTATTGTTATCCAAAGGGTTAAGCAGCAGGAGCTGGAGCACCAAATAAACCTGTTGCTTACTGTTATGGTTATTAAGGTTATTAACCAAATAAGGTTGGCTATTATTATTATTATTACTATCCAAATAGTCCTCCTCCACTTTAAGGAGTTTAACCAAATAATCCTCCTTGCTAAGTTGTTTAACCTAATAATCCAGGCTATTATCCAAATCCAGTTCCAAGTGAGCCACCTAATCCTGTTCCTAACCCTCCTCCTAAGCCACCGAAAGTAGGTGCTTGTTATCCTAATACTGGGGGTTAGCCTAATCCGCCAGGCGCTCCAAATGTGCTTGATTATTATTGTTAAAGTCCGAGTCCACCTCCAAGCTAACCTCCTAGACCTCCTCCGAGGCCTCCTCCAAGACCACCTCCAAGGCCTCCGCCTAATCCTCCTTATTGCATCTAACCTCCCATTAAACCACCAAAACCAGGTTGTCCTTGTGTTCCCTGTACTTAACCAAATAAACCTTATTATGGAGCTGTATTTGGAAATAGTCCTCCTTATACACCAGTTGGTGCCCCAAAATTACCTAATATACCTCCTATTCCTCCACTTGTTTAAGTTGGATTTTAGTTCCCAAACATACTACCTCCGAACATAATAAATTTAAATTATTTAAAATAATTATTAAAAATTTAGAATGCAAATTTTAATAACCCTGGAAACCATAGTATTTTATCAAAATAAAGGAAGTAATTATAATAGAATCTGGAGAAACATTATTTGTAATCAATAAGAATTTAAATTTGGAAATTCAAACGCAATCATATCTCTCTCAATATTACAGAATGATCCCTGTAAAGAATATAAGTGTTTAACATAATCTACAATTTATCTAAATTGATTTTTGAAGCTATATTTTTAACTTATTATTTTTAAATAAATATTTAATTAATGAAACAAGCCTAACCTTTCATTCCTCTTGCTGTTGATGATAATAAAGAATACGATATCAAAAATATACTTTAAAAATAAATTAAAACATTATCACCTGAGGAATATCATTTTTTTAGTTTCCTAATAGCTACTAATCATGTTTTTGAACAATTAACTAATTGTTAAAACAAATTGAATAATGATCCAACTTTTAGTTTGTGGAAGCTCTTTGAATTCTTTGATGTTAATGGCGATAGAAAACTACAATTAGATGATTTTATTATCACATTACAAAAATTAGACATTCTTCTTAAAAGAGAAGAAATTGAATCCTTATTTACAACTTTAGGTGGTGAGGATGACAATATCATTTCATACGCAGAATTTGCTAATTTATTAAAATTCTCCACTACACCATAATGGAGATAATCAAAAGTACCTTCAGAAGGTGTTTTGAATTAGGAACATTAAAAATTAATACATTAGATTTTTAGTTTGTATGCAAAAATAGAAAGGAGCCTTTTATATCTCAGAACACAAATAGGAAATGATATTCAAAAGCTTGAAGACTTTTTTAGAAAATTGGATTAGAAATAAAAAGGCTATTTAGTATTCAATGACTTTGTTGCTTATATAAAGTCCAAAGGCGTTCAAGTAAAAGGTAATGATTACTATAGAGTGTTCTTTATGCTTTAGTAATATAAATCAGGTAGAATTAGTTTTAATGAGTTTTTGAAGAAATTTTCAACAAGAGAAGAGTATCAAAATTATTAGCAATAATTAGATCTATTGATTCATCCTCCTTAAATGGCTATAAGAGAATCGATTGAATAATAGCCTGCTCTTCAATATAAAGTAGATAGCTCAGCCAATTTTGAAAACAAACAAGTACAATAAAATGAGATGTCATCAAAAATATCTTAGTAATCTAGATTTTCATAAGATCTTGATGACTCTATCAGATTGCCAGGATATACTAGATATGTTTTTGGAAATAATTGAATCATAATTTATTACAATATTAATTAAGTATTTTTAGACTTTAGTTCATATACTTATATAATGTAATTTAAATATATATAATGTAACTAAACAACAAAATTATTTAATGTTACGTACTCTGACTAATTACTACTAAGTTTTTTTATGGATTATTTAAATAACGACCAAAAATAAAATTTAGTTTATTAAAGTTATTTATCCATTTTTAGCTTTCCCAGAAAATGAAAGATTTCATATGATTGCAATGAGAGTTAAAATACTTATGTAATTACTTGCATTTGAATCGATCTTTGAATTTAGAAATCTATTTTAGGTGAACTCTTTTTAGAATGTATTGTGACAATGAGTCGTAGTTATTATTTAGTTAACTTTTAAAACAATAGGGATTTTATTCTAAACATATTTAAATATCCTCTTGGCAATGAATTAAATTTGAAAATAATTTTAGTTAACTTAAAATTTTTATTAATTTTTTAATGAACTCAGTATCCACTAACACTTCATTTACAGAAGTTAGGATTGTTAAAATCTACTTGAAGATTCATTACATAACAAAATTTGGATAGGCAATCTATTTATGTGGTGATGATGAATCTTTAGGAATGTGGGATCCTTGCAAGGCACTCCGTTTGTAATGGAATCAGGTACTTAATTTAATTACTTAAGAATCACGAATGGACCATCTGTATCAAGCTGCCTCGAATCAGCCGAAAATTTGAGTACAAATTCCTGGTCAACAACTACAATGAGCCTTAAATTCACTATGCCTTTTGGGAACCTGGTGAAAATCGTATAATCACCAAGCACTTGCTACTTAATGGCAAGAAGAACGAGTACTTTAATTGTAATGCAGTTCTAATACTATTTATAGAGGAGTTTTGGGGATATAGGACTATTAAATTAAAACTCAATCACACTTTACAACCGAAAGAACGCATGATGATAATAGGATCTATTCCTGAGATTGGTTCCTGGAAATCACCTGTGCTTATGAAATAGCAAATGAAGATTGATATTTGTAATACATCAATATTGTATTTCTAGTAACTGAAGAGGCCACCCAACAATGGTCAATATCATTTATTGTGGACCCCCTTAACTTTTTCTTCCGTTACTATTATGTGATTAGAAATGATGACACAGGTAAAATGATATGGGAAAGAGGCAATGGGCGTTACTTAAAAAGTGCTGATTTATCCTCAATTAGGTAAGTATTGGATTAGTATGATCTTCATCCAATCAAAGTGAAGACTGAAATATACTCAGCTATTCAGGCTAGGCAATTCAATAAAAACGGATCTTTCTCTTCTTCAAAAATACCAAAATCTAAGATCAAATAAAAGAATCAAGGCTACTCCTTTGCAGATAAGGAGCCTTCCTTTTTTTATTACGAAGAATTTGGAAGATTAAATAAGTTGGATTGGAATTTTGTAGTTCAATTCTAAACTTATGAAATAAATGAGAATATTTTGATAGGACCTTATCCATAAAATGAGTAAGATATTCTTTACTTAAAATAATAATAAGTTAGAGCAGTTCTCAATCTCTAAACACGTCTTGATATGTTCCATCGTGGAGTTAATTGGGAACAAATAGTAGATGCTTATAAGAGACACAATATTGTGATGAAGAACTATTAAATTTTTGACATGGATTCTGAAGATTTCGAAAAAAAATCTAATAAAGCAGTTCAAATTCTTAAAAAATTAATTAATGAATATGAATATGTCTATGTCCATTGTACAGCAGGAATAGGCAGAGCCCCTTCCATAGTAGTTCTTTACTTAGCATCAATCCTCCAATATGATTTAAAAGATGCAATAGAATTTGTCAAATAAAAAAGGCAATAATTTTACATTAATTATTGTAATAATAGCAATCTAATATTATTTAGCAATGTTAAAAAAGTCGTACTAAAAAGCACTTGTATTTAATCATGGATTAGGTTATTAGGAGTTAGCTTTAACATTTTGAGATTGAATAGAGTCCTTGTTGTATAGATTTATTAATTTCATTAATAAATAGTAAATAGTAAATCTATCTTTAATAAAACCTAAAACAAAATTAATTATATATATAAATATCATAATTTTGAATTATCTTATAATTCCAAATATTCTTGATCAACATTGATATTGTTATCTTTTAATTGTATGATTTCTGATGATTGTATATTATTCCTTAAAATGTAATTTAATGCCTCCTAAGCTGCTGTTTATTTTCTATTCCTAATTTTATTTTCCTATAATTAATAGTACATATGATAATTACAATTTCAATCAGTTATTTGTCTTTCTATTCCTTCTTCAAGTATCTCATCATGGCATGCTTCTTAATTAAATTGATCACAACAACTTTCTAGCCAATTTATTTGAATAATAGTTTAGCTCTGAGTCTCTCTCCTAAAAAGAGTTTTCTTAAATATTTAATATTGGATACTTTCTAAGAATTAATAATAAATTACTCTTTGAATTTGTTCGATGTTTACAAACAAAACTGGCAACAAAACAATAAATAATTTCCAAGCCATCCATAAAGCGTAAACTGCATTGATACCAGCCAATATCACTTCAAAAAAGATGATGATTGGTTCATTAGGATCAGTAAATTGATTCTTGAGAGATGCAATGACAAGTGCTATGTAAATGGTTCCAAAGGCTGTGAAACTGGAGATGACATTTACAAAATTCTATCTTTTATAGCCATAAGGTTATGTCACAAATGATGCAATTCCATAAATCAAGACTATAATTAAACATGATTCTGCCATATAGATATTATCATAAAAAAAGATTTCAATAGCTGTTTAGATCAGAATCTTTTCCAACAATCTGACAAACTCCCAATAATAATACTTTTCTCTGAATTCACCATTAATGTAATAATATTTATACTTTCTGAGTGGTCTCTTATCTTTCTTCCTCATGTCATTTCTAATGTGATATAAGAGCATACAAGGAATGTAAATGACAAAGAAAAATAGACAAGGGATGGATATAAAAAGAGTATAGAAGAAATGTTAAGTGCCATAGCAATTTTGATTTAAATCTGGTTTAAGATACCTGCCATCTCCAATATCTTTGCAATTCAATAATTGAAGTGTTTTTTCGTAAAAGCTTGGTAGGTAAAACAACCAAATGACTAGCCAAGTAGCAGTGTAGTAGATTCCTCGTTTAATCTTTTGGTTTCTAAATAGGATTGTCCATATGAACATGAAAAATAACATTGATGATACTGGTTTTAATACTTCGATAATGTAATTCACATAAACCATAGGAATGTAATTATCAACATTGATCATGGGGCATTCCAAAGAGAAATCAAAAATAGAAGGATCTTGGGAATCTTGTAATTAGGAAGGAATGTCAACAACGATTTTAGTAACTAAGGAAGTCTTTTAATAGTAGGCCAAGAATATTTTCATTAATGAATTTAAATCTTTGACTTATCCTAAGTTGGATCCAATCTTTTTTAAAGGTGGTAATAATTAGTTTAAGCATGGCAATACACATAGGATGACAACATCTTAAGCCAGAAAGAAGATGGACATAGTGAAATATATCAGAACTCCAATACTGGTCAACAATATTATAACTAATGGCCATTCTACTTAAGTACAAACAACACACATCGATCTTGTATCTCTAGCATAATTGTTATCATAATCACAGGATTAGCACATCCTTCCCATATATCCTAAACCACATTAAGATTAAGAGACTCCACCTAAGCAATTGCTAAATTAAGTATCACATTTATAGATCTCCAATGTAGTGATGTTCTCTCTCCAATAATTGGATTCTAAGTTTGTCTCAGCTCCTCCATAGCATTAAATGTGATAGGTTGATACGAGTGGACACACTTAACATTATCCAGGGTCTTCATCAGTTGGAATACTAAATGAATAAAAGCCTTGAGGACATTTATAACAAATTGTTTGGCTGTCAAAACTCTATTTGATTTCCCCGTATAAACATTTACGGAATATCACCTTCAGAGTGTAATTGTAATTGTTAGTGTAGTAATAATTGAATTAGTTGGTCGACTTAACTTCGTCGGATGTAAAGTAATAAGTGAATTCAGTACTCGGGTTCCCAATGAGAGTGAGTCCATCTAGAAAGAATCCAGTTTTTTCGAATTTCACTTGGCTATCAGAACTGGAAATGGATAGTGAATAATTTTCATCATTTGATTGAAAGATCTTTAAATAAGACTATTCCTTGTACATAGTGATATTTTCTGAAGATTTCAATACCAATTATAGAGGCGTGTTCATAGTGTCTCCACTTTTGAAATTACTGATTATATATTCACCATTATCTGAATCTTGTACAAAAAAGTAACCATTTGCTGGCTATAGTTTTTCATCATATACTTATTGGATCACTCCTTGATCTACTAAGGGTCCACTCAAATATAATGAAGTTGGATATGAACTTATTTCACTACCCTCCACCAAGGCACTGTTATTCCAATAAAAGACGCCAGTTATAAACGGCGAGAATACTTAAGTCTTAATTCCTCCTCCATATTTATAAGCTATATTATTTAAAAAGTAGCTTTAAGTAATGGTAATCACTGGAAGATCCAATACTTCCGATAATTTGAACTATTAATCAAATGAATTGATGTATAATCCTCCTCCTGACCCTAAAACTACATTCGAAGAGAATGTGCAATTTATGACCTTCAAATTAGACACGTTCTATAAATCTGCTAGAATGGATCCCCCATCAAATTGTGCATAATTATTTATCATACTAACATTCTCAAACTATGCAAATTACTCCTTTAATGTCAAGTAAAAACAGCTACCAAAATTCCCCTTATTTCCTTAACATGATCCTCCTTTTATGTATGAAAAGGTATTCTTTAAGTAAAATCCACTTGATAAACAATTAGAAGGATCACAAGATAGTTACTTGAGTTATGGAGTTAACATATAAATTGCAGAATCATATAGTTAAATTAAACTCGAATTCAGTTTATAAGCTATCTGACTAATATTCTACAAGGTTAGTGTATTTATACTAAAATAAGAAGTCATTAAATATAACAAATGCGAATTCTTTGTAATAATGTTGGAGAAGTTGCTTTATTAAATAGATATCCAAGTCTGGTTTGCATAAATGATCTATCCTTCCTAGGCCTGAGTAGAGAATGATTATATATTCTTTATATTCAATTGAATGGCATTAAATACGCAATGCTCAAGATAGAATAGGGAACCTTAATTTATTTGATAAGGATTAAAGACTGCAGGTGTCTACGTTAAATTATTATATAAGAAAGTATTGTTCTTCATTGTTACGTTGAATAGCTCTAATTTAAAGATGGATCCATTTTGGGAGTATATGTTTGAAAAGTTATTTTCTATGAGGATTAATTATTTCGTAAATTTGTAAGGAGCCACATTGGAAATATTGGATACATCAACATCTGTGAAATTTAAATATGGATAAGTAGCTGTTTCTTCTTTTTGAAAGAATAATAGGCCTCCTTCTTATAAAGAGAATATTGAATTGATTTGATTCTAGGATAAGGTGATAATTGTATTTTCTAAGGTGTTGTCTATATAAATGGCACCATTTCCAAATGAAAACACATTGTTAATTCTGTTATTTATAAAGGTGATTTTGGGACTAGTCGAAGCTGAGTGATACATCTATATTAAAAAGACAGAACCACTATAAGAATATACTTACATGAAATTACTATTCTAAACATTAAGAGTGGTACATGAAACTTATACAATTCCACCAATTACATCTTAAACTCCATGATATGTTGCATCAGTAGCATTAAATTAATTTACACTTGAAGAACTTAAGGTTATGATCTAAGCATTCAAAACCAATAAGCTTGTGCCAATACTACAGTTAATATAATTGAAATTAGATTAATCAATAGATAATTGGGATTGAAATCCTTTAAAATATAAACCAGTTGATGACACAATAAAATTTTAATCTGCCTACTTTAATTATAGGTTTGCAATTGTAATATATGATAGGCTAACAACAAATTAGCTTTTGACATCTATTAGAATTCCATAACAGGTGTTTAACAATGAAGTCGAAGTAATTTGGAAATTAAAAATACTTACTGATGACATCTTGATGCTGCATGAATTGGCCAATGAGCAATCGTAGTCATTTTGGTTGGATATTGTGATTAATCCATCTTAATATATTGTTCCTTGATCGAAGTAGATCTAGTTGATGTTAATTTAGGGGATCTCAGAAATAACTAGACTTAATGTGGATGGTGTTGAAAATGTAAAATCATTTAGAGTGATAGAATCAAATGTTTATGCATAAAAAGAACTATTATCTAAGATGAGGTGTGATGCATCAATTCTTTTTCCAAAAGAAAACTTAAAAGCGTAATTGATTCCTTATTTATATTGATTGTTAAAAAGTTGAACTGTATTTAAAGTAATTATTGATTGATAGAATAGATTACTCAGTTGTTGATTGAGAATTGGTGCATTTAAATAGGATGAAAAACTATTATCTTAAATAATCACATTAGTTAACTTAATCATGATGGGTTGTAGTGATTCTATTAGGATATTGTTAAAGATTGTGCTACAAAGTTGATTTTAACTAATAATTACATCTGAAGCCTAAAGTTAGTAATATTGAAATAATTAATTAATAGAGGTTGCAGATGAAGAACATTATGAATTAGAGATGGTTACAGTATTTAATGTTAATGAAGTTTTATCTGAGATTTACACTAACTATTACAATTTGGAACCTGATATCTAGAGGTTTTCTATTTGAATATTAACTCCTTGGCTTGATTAAATTAATGGTGAGGACATCTCGAAATTATTAACTTTGAAATTTTACAATGTGAGTTGATACACATTATCCAAAATTAAATAAGGACATTATTAAGATTAAGCATTTGTAATTTAGCAATTCTCAATATTACTTAATATGATATTAGTGAAATATAATTTACAAAGCGGGACTATTATGGTAAGATCCTGAAAATGGACTTCATTAAACT